ACTCATATCTTTGAACAATAGGGTTTGCGAGGTGCTCTAGGGCCGTAGCCAGTGAACCGTTCGTGAAGATGTCTTTCTTGATGCCGTGATCAGCGATGTACCAGCTCAGGAGATCTATCGCGGCTTTAGAGAAGGCAAGATAAGTCGGTCTCTTTGAGTCACTCGAAGAGTCCCACTTCGTCAACGGTGCATCCGCAAAATCAGCAAGACATAATAGAATCTCTGGTTGTGAGTCGTCTTTCTCAAGGCATAGTGTCTTCAAGCACTCAATGATCATGGTTTGAAGGCGCGATAAGCGATCAATGTCTGGCGAGTATGGAGGGGAAATTGAATTCCAAGCGAGTAGACGCAGATGCCCGAGGATGCTTTCCACCTGCTCTCCAGCGATTTCATCCTTGTATAGTCGATAAATCTGCTGGAATGACTGGAGGTATGCTATTGCCGCATCTTGATTAGGGCGTTCCAAGTCAAGTATATCTTCCCTATCTGCCGGGTGTCCATCTACCCAGAGTAGCCAAGCAGAACGCAGGGCCTGTGTGCTTAGACTACAAGATGCCTGCACACGACGAAGAATATTCGACAGACTGGCGTATACAGCCTCGCTGAACTCAAGAAGCCGGAGGCTGATCAACTTCCGGAAATATTCAAGCAGTCGTTCCCAAGACTGATCGAATAGGTCGTCTTGAACTATCGGCTCAAAGAAAGTAGTGATGAGATCGGAAGCCCCCTTTATCATAACAACAGTGGTCTCAGTCCACGCCTTGAGATCATCGGGGGTGCGACTGCTATTCTCCTCTCGTGTAATCGTGAGCTCGGTCTCGATTTCCTCTACCATTCGGAATAAGACACGGTTCAGACACAAGCGCCATGCCTTGGGCGACAATTGCTGACCGTAGGCGTCAAAGATCCTCAAGAGTGTCTGAACAGCGCAGTTCCGAATTTCCGGCCTGCTATCCGTCGTAAGGTCAACGATTCGTAAAAGGAGCAATAGCCACAATGCGTTTCGCGACACTGAAGGATCCTCCCCCTTGGCTAGCCCTGCAAGAGTGTCCTCAGTCACGGAGGAGTCAATGTGTACCTCAATGCAAAATTGCTCGATTTGTCCCTGGAGGAAGTCTGAGACATTCCAGAAAGATGAGGTAGTTGTCAATGAGATATTGAAATCCTGCTGTTGCAAGGCAAATTTTGAGAAGGAGTCCACGAGACTCAACCGACAGGGCACTGGAAGCAAGGAAATGAAGTCAGAAGCTATGAGCTGCAGAGACTTGTACGCGACTCGAACAAGTCGCGGCGAATTTGCTGTCGATGATGGCTGACGCCCTTTCTTTGGTGTTTCGGTGCCGTTGGGCTCGCCGAAAACGCTTGTTATGAGATCAAAAACAACGGACCATCCATCGACGAATGTTTCGGCATATTGTTCGAGTATGCTCTTTAAAGTTTCCAAGCTCTGCTCATGAACTTCGGCTACGGGCGCTGAAGGCGACCCTGCCGAACAAGCTCCACAATCATAGAGCAGTTGAACTTGAAGCTTGAGTGTTTGGAGGTTTCTCAATTGCCGTGCATTCCGCTCAGAGACATCTCCGGTATCCGTGTGCTTCAGTGTCTGGAAAACAACGTCATTAAGAACCTCGTTGGCTCGTAGACGAAGCTTTTGGATATTTGATCTGTCCGCTGCACTTGACATCAATCTTCCGGTAAGAAGTTGCCAAGCGTCTTGGTCAGTATCAGCTAGTGATGAGAAACGTTCAAGGTTTGCCCGGGCTAGCTCGTTTGCCTTCTCGAGGACAAATTTCAGGAGTTCATCTTGCGTTTTCGACTTTCCCATAGAGCGAGATACACGGTGGGTGTTTTTGCGCATCAAATATGAGCGCGACTGAGGTGAAAGAACGGTGCTTGTTGTCTCAGTCGATTCTTGCGTCGAGTCTTCGGGTGCTCCAGAAAGATCTAAGAGCGCAGTCAAGATTTCCTGAAATGAATCGCTGGGATATTCGCTAGTACTCTCTAGCATTTTAGCTGATGCTGCCTGCACGGCTAATATCTCAGAATTGAGATTAGCCCTAGGCACATCGACACCAGCGGCAGAGGATGTTTCTCCGGAAGTAGTGGTTGATGCTTGTGACTTCGTGGAAGCCATACCGATCACCAAATCTGTGTCTTGTAGGGTCCCTAGTATTATTGACCAGGCCGGCTGGTCTAGTGTAGGGCCTAAAGCGATGCCCAAATTGAGCAGCGCCCGCAAGCACAGGAGGTTCCGGGTACTGAGGGACACAAGCGCAACGTCCGAAGGCGCACTGGAAGTCTCAGCCGGTAATGGGGAACTAGTAAGCGACGCCTGAGACCCCCTCGATTTCTCGTCTGATGATTTGTTAGACTGAGAAGCGGCTGTGGTAGGCGCTGCAATGCCTGCAGTCCTTGTGGAAGTTGCGTCTGCAGGCATGGCTGCCTTCCCTATAGTTGTTAAAAGAGCATCGCGAGGCGTAGATAACCTGAGAAGGCCAGCAACGTGGGCTAACTTCTGAATTGATCGAACAAGGTTGTGGTAGAAGTCATCATCAAGCGAGGCGTATAGAAATGTTGAGCAAGCGGCAAGGATAGCAGGCCAGCATGTCTCAATGATTCCGGCACAGCTTTGTATTGCTGGGAGTTGGGGATGAGATTCCAGCAGCAGGGGATTGATCGGTACAGAGGACTTCTTGGGACCCAACGGCTGCAATCCTTTCGAGGAGTTCGTCCGTTGAAGGTCCTGTGAAGGCCGAGAAGAGCCACCATCTGGATGGGGACTCATGACACGACTTCTTCGTTTTTGCTTCAGATCGGGCACCGTCAAGGGAAGTATGAATTTCGCGAGTCCTTCAGCAAAGCTACCGATGCAGTTCAACACAAGACTATAGATATAAGTATCAGGAGGAGTAGGAGGATCAGTCTTGTCAAGCAACTCCATGTACGGTGTGCGAACCACACTCCACTGACTGCTGATTCCTGGTACATCAGTGTCCGTTGATGGAACGGTGGTTCCGATGACGCCGGCAACTCCACCAGCCTCGAGGGTGATCTGCTCCTCAGTGATAGATCTCGCATGCTCAACTCGGGAAGGCACGGTCGATCGGCTACTAACTCCGATCAATGTGGGCTTTTCGGAAGTTAGGCGGACAAGAGAGGCCATGTGGTCTTTGAGGATATTCTTTCTCCGGTCATCCCTGTCGTACAGCGAATACATGAGCCTTACCAGACCTGGTTCGGCATATAAGCCTCGAAAGACCTCCATGCAGAGGACTCGTTTCCAAGGGGAGTTTCCGTCTGGCTCAAGGAGATGCGTCAAGAGACCAAGGGCCATCTCGCACTCCGCGGGAAGGAGTGACATATGGCGTTTGAGGAGCACCAAGAGGATGCGACTGACTCGAACAGTCTGCGAAAAGCTATGCCGTTCAGACAGATACCTTACGATCAAGGGCATGAGCCGAACTCGCAAAATCTGTGTTAGCTCGGAATGGACAACGAATAATTTGCCGCTGTTGACCAGGATGCTCTCAATAAGCTCAAGGGTGAACGATGAAGAGAGGGATTTGATTCGAAGGAAGTACAAGGGTTCGCCATCAATGAGTCGACAGAGGTCGTCCAGGACCTTGTGAGTCAGTGAGCCATGAAATCATGTCAGCTTAAGTGGAAAGCCACCTACCCGCAGAGCATCGTATGCAAAATACCCTACATTCACAGGGTTCCCGTCGACCTTAACAGTCGTCGTTGGAGTTGTTTTATCGAAATTCTCTGGTTCTCTAGTCAGGCCTGTGTCGCGTTGGAAGGAATAGAAAGTACATGGTTACTGACTGTCTTCGATCGATACACGGTCAAATGTTGATACGATCAGTTGCTGCAATGTGGCTGCGGCGGTACTGGAGACTGCAAGCATCTTGTTCCCTTGCAGAGTAGCACAGATCTCCAAAGTGCTTACTAGGAGGTCTCCTCCCAGGTCACTGGAGTAGTGCTGCAGTAGGGATGGCAAAGACTGCAATATTTTGAGCTGAATATCCAGGCCTTCGCAACGTCAGTATGGAATGTGGTGTTTGTAGGTGGTAACTTACTCATGTTCGTTGTCTCCTTCAACCCAGCAAGTACATCTTTCAGCCGCTCAGATGGCAGCGATCGTGAGGCCACTAGCCTTTGCAGGCAGACGACCCCAATGCCTGCAAGCTTCGCATGGCGGCTGTGGCACGCAAGGATAAATGGATTCGCAAACTTAGGTTTGCGCACCAAATCTATAGAAAGTTCAGCGTATGCCCTTGACGGGGGTGCAAGCTGGTGGCTTGTAAACGCTCACCTGCCGAAATCTGCGCTTCAGACGTAGAAGGCAGTGCCTTCAATTCATTAAGGGACTCTTCAGCCGCCTACAATCTAGTCAGTACTGGCACTTGCGTATCCCTTAAATTGAGCGTTTAAACATACATTACGCAATTCAGAGTTTCTTCTCTTGGATTCTTGAATCAGGTTCAAGAGCTCTGTCTGCAAAAATTGAGAGGACATTTCCACCGGAGTGCTTAATCAGTACATGGCCGATGCCACTCCCTATCGATCAAATAGTAGTATCACTAGGCAGATGTGGCTTCATGTGGTTGGGTCGCTGGTTGGACGACGGAGTACAAAGCTAAGCACTTGAAACACGACAATACCAGACCAATATGTTCTAGAGTCAAGCCGCACCAATATAAATCTGCAGCAGCTGTAGCAGACAATGACCGGCTCATTAAAAACAACGTAGAAGTAATGGCATCAGGAGTGACATCTTGGGAGCGCCAAGGCACCCGCGGAGATAGAGCTATCACGTGATGTATACAGCCGTTATCATCACGTGTGGTGTTTCTTCAGGAACCCGGCGGGACCAGATACGCAGCCCAGCCAAACGGCCGGAAGTGGGATAAGGTCACAGTGCCCCTCCTCCGCCCCGAGGATCGAAACGTCTCCCTTACAACTTCCTATCTAACTTTCGCTCACTTTCGACCTAACCCTACCTCTTATCTGCACAATGGGAGCTAAAGTGCCCAGAAATTTCAGACTGCTCGAAGAGCTGGAGAAGGGTGAGAAGGGCTTGGGAGCTGGTAAGTGCTATGCTACTCATAGTCATAAGAAACCCATTTCGCTGACGTATTCCTATCGCTATTACCTAGAGTCATGCTCCTATGGTCTTGCAGATGGTGAAGACATGATGATGAGTAACTGGAACGGCACTATTCTTGGCCCCCCTCACGTTCGTCCACCGCTTCCGGCTCGCATCCGTTATACTACACAGTAGCGTCACTGACTTTATGAACGAGCGCAGAGTGTCCACGAGAACAGAATTTACAGCGTCAACATCCATTGCGGTCCGGACTACCCTGACAACCCCCCTACTATTCAGTTTGTATCCCGAGTCAACTTGCCATGCGTTGATGGCCGGAGCGGAAAGGTAAGGATTCGTCCTGTCTCGATCACTACTGCGTGATAGGTTTCCAGTCTGACTTCATATAGGTCGATCCTACCAAGCTGCCTTGCTTGGCTCAGTGGAAGCGCGAGTATACCATGGAAACTATTCTAGTCGAGCTCAGAAGGTAACCATTGCCTGACCTTCAGGTTATTGTGTCTTTATACTAATAGTTTCCAGATATATGGCTCTGCCCCAGCACAAGAAGCTTCCGCAGCCTCCGGAAGGCTCGAACTTCTAGAATAACGGTATCATGACTGGTTGATGGATTCGAAAGCGGAGTATATGGTTGGTTTCTAAGTCAGGTTCATCTGCATTTCTTTTCAATGGCTTATTAGAGCATGTACAGTCTATGCATAACGGCGGGCATGGCGCGGTCTTCTTTGAAGCCTAGTTGCAATTCATCGATTTAGAACATTGCTCAGTATGAACCGTGTGTCGCTTTTGTGAAAGCCATATCTGCCGAACTAACAAGGCCTTGTACCCTTGTTTTTGGCGGGTGTTCGTTCATATCTGGACAGCTTGCAGAAGCGACCGTACCGGCGAAAGACATTAGACCATGATCAGCATATAGAGGAATATCCGGGAATCGGGTCCCTTCCGTCGCCTGTTGTAGATTGGATAACAGTAGAGTCTATACAGCTGCACGGCACGCACTGCAAACTTCCGGTGCAATCGATTCACAAGTAATAGTGTCGGCCGTTTGTCAAAATTCTAAAAGTTCCTACATCGTTGCATGCCCTGATTACAATATATCATTGTTTAATCACAGTATAGGCATAACATTTCGGTTACACGTGACGTATTCCGGATTGCCGGAGTAGTCACATGTCTCCGACTAAAGTCCGGAACTTAAGCCTTCAGGATCATGCTGCCTCCTCGATAATGCATAGAACAGTTGTTCCCAGGCAGTCTTCCGCTCATCGTTTCGCAAGTAAGTTTCTTCAGAGACAGTAGTATTTACTGAGCGTCACAAGAGTTTGACTGACTGCTGTTTTCCTTTCCAGCTTTGGCACTTTATCGAGCGCTCCTCCGACAATGCGCCAAACTACCACATTCTCCCTCCGAACTCGCTGCGTGCAAGCCGTACATCCAGGATAGATTCAACAGATACAAAACGCTTCAGAGTCCGTCTCAAACAGCCAATTCACTTAGGGCAGGCTACGAGGTGCGTTAACAATCGGCTCTCAATCGACCATTCAGTATCTAAATTCCGCGATTTCGCAAACACTCAGGCTCTGGACCTACTGTACTCAGCCTCGCAAGGCGACCAAAATGGCGTTCAACGGATAAGGAAACTCATATCGGAAAGTGAAGCGGCAAAGCGACAGAAATTCGAATGGCACAGGGAACGAGCTAAGGTTATTCCGGTAAAGCCCGTGAGCCGGAAGGAGCTGAAGAAAGAGGCAAACAAACGTTACCGAGTATTGACTGCGAAACGGCACCCGGATGCCACCTCTATTCTTGCACGTCCTCGGCCTGTAGTTAATGGGAAGCGTCGAGTTCCTGTACTCGTGAATGCGCGTGGTTTCCCATTCCTGCTCATCAAGAAGCCCCAGCCTAAGTTTCTTAGCGCCGTGCTGGACTCGAAACTGAAAAGGCGCTGGAAGAGGATGGAGCGCCTGAAAAGGCTCGAGTCTGAGTTGCCCATGGCCAGGGACGAGGATGAATGGGATCTATTAACTGGCCATAAGGAAGATGCAAAGTGGTCTGGGCCAGTTAGAGTGTCACTTAAAGAGGTGCAGGGACAAATTTCAGAAGGCGATAGGAGGACCAAGGAACTGGCGCAAGCTATGTGGAAAGTCGTTCTTGAAGAGCGCAAGCTGGCAGAACAAGAGGAGAAGCAACGGGTCGAGCAAGCCGGGGAGCAACCAGCGGAAGAAAAAGAGAATTCCTCGGCAGAGGAAAACGATAAGAAACGGCCGAGTGAGGGATGAATCAATGCCGGAAGAAATGTTCTGTTACAGCCGTCCAAAGCTTGCGCTTGGCAGTTTATTTTGTCCAGCACTCTGTCCTTATGGGCCCAAAGCCGTCACATCCACCACGCTACCAGTACGGTGCCACTGTGAGATTCACCAGCGTCCCAATGGGAGCTGAATTGGGCGTATCTACTATCATTTACGGGGTACGCAGCTTCTCCGGCCTTTCATCATGTCCCTTATGACGGGTCAACGCTACTACCAACAGAGTGCGTTTGGAAATAGGTAATATGGCAGGTACATGTGCATAGTGCAACAGTGGTTGGCGTATGTACAATCAAATTACTACATACTAGTCTAATGTCAAGTACAATGTCTCACAAGGGATTCATACTGCTTCCATCAGCTATGCGGTAATAGACAAATGCTTCCGTAGGCTTACTGCACACCAAAAACTTCGTGGTTGGCTATCAACTGCTCAACGCCAACCAGCTAGCATCCTTGTCATCCAGCCAAGACTATTTACAATATAGTAGTTTCAAGAAATGCCAACTTCTAGTGGCTCGATCCCCATCAAGCACGGAACTTAATTCTCGCCAGAGATCTGATCAAGAGACCCCAGCTTCTAAGCAGCTATCTTCATATTCTCCACAGCAGCCGGAATACCATCCTCCTCATCTTCATCAAAGTCTGCCCCTCCAGCAAGACCTCTCTCCCACAGCTGCTTGCCCGTCAACTTCTTTTCTTCCTTTGCCGGACCCTTCTTGGTAGCCTTCTTCTCCTCCGCCTCCTTCTCCTCGCGCTTCCTCTTCTCCTCCTCCTCCATCTCCTTTATGAACTTGTCGCGCCACTCCAAGAACGTCTCCCGATTGACAGCAGTGCCCTGGAACTTCCGGTTCTCCTCCTCTTCCGCCTTCTTCGCCTCCATCTCTTTTTCGGCATGAACGGCATGAACGCGTTCCGCCATGAGCTCTTCGGCGCTCTCCTTCAAAGCACTAACCAGTGTAAATACCATAGCCATTCCCATGTTCTCCTCAATGGTCGGTTGCAAGGTTTCGAGAAGTCGGTCCCGGTCCTCACTGATGTCTAGTCGGGGGTGTTTCGGTGCGTTCGGCGGCGCACTCAACTCTAGTTCCGGTGCAACATCCGGGTAGTCTGCTGGGTATGTGACTTGCAGAAGCAAGACAGGCTGCTCTGTTTCTTCGACGTCATTTTCGGGTGCGTCAAGAGCAATTGATATCCGGTATGAGGTGTCAGAAAGATCTGGGGTGGGATTCGGTCAGCGATTATGATGTTTCGTAGATATCAAATGTATGGTGCAAGGTGAGTATGGTGCTGCCTCCTTACCTGTGATTTCCTCGGGGAAAATGGAGTCGAGCACTTCGCGCTCTTCGATCTGGTCTTCGCGGCCCATGCTGCTTCAATTCTGCCGCCGGCGGGGCTGGAGGGGTATTGTTTGGTTCTGGGTTTAGGGACAAGGGCGATGGCTGGAGATTCACAATTCAGACACTCAAAGATCTAGCAGTATGTTAAATCGAAGAGACCAAGCAAATAGTCGCTGGTCTTATGGTCTAGACGTTGACAGGCTCGTGCTTGGGATATGAATTCCTCGGTCTTTGGTGTGTAAGTAGAATACGCTGCGATCCCACATGCAAACAAGACAAACAGATAAGGAATCGCCCAAATTTGTCCCGCCCGAAAAAGGGAATTTCTATGCTCCGCCTTCTCGAAATTCAAAGCTTCAAGCATTTACACTCAATATTCTTGTTTATAAAACCTTTCTACCCTTTACTCCGTGTCCTCGAATAACCCTTCAAGTACGTTTGACATATAATTCCGTTACAGCTTATAGATCATGGGAAAATCAAGACCTCACAACAAGAAGGCCTCCAAATCTCGCGCAAAGTCCGTTTTGGGCGCTGGCGGCTCGGTTTCGAAACAAAAAATGAACGAAGACCCCTCTAAGCTCCTCGAGCAGGCGACGATACAGCTCCAGACCGGTCAACCGGACGCTGCTCTCCGGCTAGCTCAGCAAGCCCTTAACAATGCGCCGGACAATTCTCCAGCTCAATTAGTGGCACTTAATACCGTTGGAGAGATCTACGTTGAGCTAGGCGAGATCGATGTTGCGAAACAACACTTTATGCGTGCCATCGAGCTCGATCCGAATGGCACGATCCCTGAGGCTGAAGGAGGCGGTGCTGAGAAGTTCCTATGGCTAGCTCAATTGAGCGAACAGGGTGGGAAGGACAGCGTTCAATGGTTCGAGAAGGGAGTGTCGTCGCTCAGGCATATTATCCAGCAGCTCGAGCAGAAACCTGGTCCTGAGGAAGCGCTTGAGCTGGCCGAGAAGAAGCGCAAGATGGCGAATGCCCTCTGCGCTGTTGCTGAGATCTACATGACCGATCTCTCGTAAGTCGCTCTCCAATTCGTCCTTCTTCCCATGGGTGGGTTGGTCGCAGAACTTTTGATGCTGACTGTCAATAGGTGGGAAGAAGATGCGGAAAACCGTTGCGAATCACTCATCACAGAAGCCCTCCTTGTCGCTCCGAATGCGCCCGAAGTACTACAGACCCTCGCATCGATCCGGATTTCGCAACTACGGACAGAAGAGGCTCAAGCAGCGCTCAGGAGGAGTCTCGATCTTTGGAAAGACCTACCGCCCGAGGACTTGTCCATTCCTGACTTTGCGACAAGAATCAGTCTTTCCCGTCTCCTGATGGAGGTCGGCATGGAGCTTGAGGCTCTAGAGGTGCTGGAACGCCTTATCTTGGAGGACGACCAAAGTGTGGAGGCATGGTACCTTGGAGGATGGTGTCTGCAGCTCCTGGCCGGGAAGCAACAAGCACCTAAGGATGCCGACGAAGAGGACGGCAACACCCCAGAGGCCAGGCGCCATGCATCCCTCGTGGCTAGCCGCGAATGGCTCAAGCAAAGCTTAACGCTGTACGACCTCGTTCAGTATGAGGACGAGAGACTTAAGGAACACGCACTGGAATTGGTCCAAGAGATGAACAAGGAGATCGGTGAAGATATGGATGACGATGAGGCCGGGGAGGGCGAGGAAGATTGGGAGGACGAGGAGATCGAGGTGGAATCTGATGGCGATGACGAGATGGCTGACTCATAAAAAAGCTGCATGTTTGATTGTTACGAAAATTTGTTGTCATGATACCAGTATATAAAAGGGCATGTTTTCCGATACAACCTACGGCTATTCAAAGGACTCCGATTGCGGACACGATCCAGCAGTAGTCGAACTAGTAGTAAGTACTAGTAGTAGCTGCGACAGTCTATCTATCAGCAGACGGCGCCGGATAAAGTAGGATCCGACCGCTTTCCCCCGGCGATAACCAGAGCCAAATTTATTCCGGCAGTTCGACTTCGAGTGGCAAATAGCTCAATGTGAGTGAGGAGTCGTTATAGAGGTTGCTGGAAGTGTCCTATCTTCCCATACAGGATGGACCTTGTTTCAGCGCCCAGCGGGGAGGATTCCTCGTTGAAGGATCCGGTGGTCCAGGTGGAAGCCGTTGATATGGCCTCCGCAGTATCAAACACCGGCACCGCAACGGAGAATAGAGCCGCTGCGAAGGAAGAAGTGACTCAGTCGGAGTATGAGACCGATAGCGACGGCTCCGGCGACGAGTGGGAGACTCAGTCTCTATACGAAGACGCTATTCAAGTCCTACGCGACGATCAGCTCCGTGAGGGTGGTAAGCACCCTATATGATGTCCTCTATATGCGCGCACTGACCGGATCTTCTCCTTGTTTTAGTACCGGATGCCTGCACACTGGAAGAGGCCGTCGCCTATCGGAAACGACTCCATGAGGTTGGCAAGGCTGCATTTGTTGAAGAAACGCTGGGTCAGGACAAAGTGACTGCGCGGAAGCTGTGTACTGCGTTCGGCATCTTGCCCCCAGCCTTTTTGAACGATGCGCCGGACGAGGCCTTTCATCCTCTCCTGGCTATCGCGATTTCGCGCGAGTTCTCCAGGCGCCCGAAGCTCCCACAATACAATACAATTGATGATGCGGTCAAGTTGCTCAAGGAGAGCAAGAATATCGTCGTCTTAACTGGCGCTGGTGTATGTTGATCAAGAGGATTGGTACCCGTTCCTGAAACGTGTGCTGATAGGATACTCTCAGATTTCTACGAGTCTCGGAATACCCGATTTCCGTTCAAAGGACACTGGTCTCTATTCACAGTTGGCGCATCTAGGCCTGAGCGATCCTCAGGAGGTGTTTGACATCCAGGTGTTTCGCGAGGACCCCAGTATCTTCTTCTCGATCGCGAAGGACATTCTTCCTACCGAGAAGAAGTTCTCGCCGACCCACGCTTTTATCCGTGTTCTGCAGGATAAGGGGAAATTATTGACCAACTACACTCAGAATATCGACAATATCGAGGCGAATGCCGGTGTTCTCCCAGAGAACATCGTGCAATGTCACGGATCGTTCGCCACGGCTACGTGTGTCAAATGTCAGTACAAGGTCAAGGGGGATGAGATATTCGATGAGATCAAGCAAGGAGTTATCCCTCAGTGTGAGGCTTGCCGCAAGCGCATCGCAGAAGATTCGGGGATCAAGAGGAAGCGGAGCAGCAACGGAGTCCACAAGAACCGCAAGGACAATGATGGGGACAGTACTGATGACGACTACGAAATCCCCACCCCTGGTGTCATGAAGGTTCGTGGAAGACCACATCTTGTACATTTGTTACTTACAATATGCTAATTCAAACCTCGTCAGCCCGACATTACATTCTTTGGGGAAGATCTTCCTGATGAGTTTGGCCGCCGGTTGCTACACCATGACCGTGATCAGGTGGACCTCGTTATTGTTATTGGGACTTCACTAAAGGTGGCTCCTGTAGCGGAGGTTCCGGGCGTGCTCCCTCGAACAGTTCCTCAGCTTTATATCTCGCGTACCGTAAGCCACCTTTTTCTTGTGCTCTTGCGCCTCGAGCTTTGCTAACAAGACTTCAGCCTGTGTCGCATACGGAATTCGATATCGATCTTCTCGGCGACTGCGACGTGGTGGTGTCTGAGCTCTGTCGTCGAGCAGGATGGGAACTGAAGCATGAGATGATTCCCGAAGACGAGAAGGTTGAAGTGCTTCCAGTGGAGGGTTACGAGTCACGACATGTGTTTAAGGTTGTCGGCGCATAGCGGCGGCGTTTGGTCCTGGTCATCTCTGGCTCTGTGGATTTCAAGGACGGCGTAAGTTTGGGTTTTTCTTTGAACAGTTTCTGTGGGTCATCTTGTTGGGAGGCATAGTATGTACGAGGGATGCTTAATCGGATGCATAGCTGTACCATACAGCATGTAGTATGCTTGCTGCTTCGATGTATTTATGTTTTGTTTGACTGGCATCAGCCTGTGCGATAAACCGTTATTATTTCTTCATTTACTATATTCTTCTTTATACTATGTTTTACCCCAATGCTGTAGATTGAATTTCTTTATCTAGTCTAGTAACAGTAGTTGTGCAGTGTTCCCATAGTCTGGTTGCGAAACCTAAGAACAGAGTAATATCCTGGGGTGAAAGATGGCGGGTTCCCGGCCAAATCCATCCAATCCACTGGAACAAAAAGAAAATTTATTTCCGCTCCTGTCAACGGCCATTAATTAACAAAGAACCCCCAGCAGATCAGAGCGGACCAAGATTATTCCTTTGAAGGCAATTTGGCCCTGTATCACTACCTCTGAATATTGATACATCCTCCGAATACGTGGCGAGCGTGAGTACAACCGACAATGGAGTATCTCATTCGCTTCGCCCAGGCCCATGAGTCTTTTCGGCAGGCCGAGATCCAGGCACTGGCTGACCTGGCGGGCGTGAAACTCGAATTTATACATTATGATAAAAATGTAAGTACAAATTCTTTTCTTCTGTTTCTCAGTCCCGATAATTTATATCATACATTCATTGTGCGGTTTCTTGCCCCCGCGTGAGGAACAGAAAATGTCACTCACCCCTCATTGGGATCATTATCCTTGTCCCCGCACCAATGACTATCCAACCATCTATCTACATTTTATACATGCCGCTAACCACCATCACCAGTCCCCATTCTGCACAATAAGACTACCCGATGAAGCGGCAGCTCGTGCAGTGATTACCCGAAGCATTATAGCCAAGGATATCTTCGAGCTCTGGGGCCAAGGCACCAACTTCGACGAAGTCTACGCCGACGTCCGCAGGCGGACGGAGGATCGCTGGGCGCAGTACAGGGACTCGTCGTTCCGATTCACCATTGACAGTTTCGCCGGAAAGCGCAGCAGTGAGAAGAAGCGCGAGATCATCCAGTCATTTTCCTTCCTGGGCTTCAAGGGCCCCATTCGCATGAAGAACCCGGACCAGGATTTCTGGGTCTTTGAGGACTACGGATTGGATCTTAACTCGCCTGGTACGCCTCGTCCTGAGGGCCAAGAGCCAAAGATCATTTACTTTGGACGCTGGATTGCGAATAGTAGTCGCGATGTCGTCAACAAATATGATCTCAAGAAGAGACGCTATATTAGCACTACCTCTATGGATGCGGAGTTGACCCTCATCACGGCTAATATGGCTCATGCTGCGCCTGGAAAGCTCTTCTATGACCCGTTTGTGGGTACGGGGAGCTTCTTGGTGGCTATGTCGCATTTCGGGGCTGAGACGTTCGGATCGGATATCGATGGACGCAGTTTCCGGGGTAAAGAGATGATGGAGAGGGGTGGGACGATGGGAGTGTTGTCGAACTTCCAGCAATATGATATGGTCGGCAAATTTATGGATGTCTTTACTTCCGACCTTACCAATACACCTTTGCGCTCGGCTCAGTTCTTGGATGGCATCATCTGTGATCCGCCTTATGGTATTCGCGAAGGACTCAGGGTTCTTGGGAGACGCGAGGGTCTCAGGAACGAAGAGGTCATTATCGATGGTGTTCCTGCTCACTAGTACGTCTACATTGTCGCTTTTGAGTATCAGTATCTGGACTTGGATGCCAACTAACCTGCGTTCAGTCGACCCGGATATATTGCACCTAAGAAGCCCTACGGCTTCGAAGCCATGCTCAACGATATCCTTAACTTTGCCGTCAGAAGTCTCGTTACAAATGGACGTCTAGCCATGTGGATGCCAACGGCAAATGACGAGGAGGTTGAATTGGCAGTACCGATGCACCCCAACCTGGAGGTAGTGAACGTATCTGTCCAACCGTTCTACACCTGTAAGTTCATATGAAGCCTTCCCAGACAACATATAAGATTAAGTACAAGGCTTACCTGTTGACCAGGGTCTCGTCGGCTCATCACCTATCGAAGACTACCAGAAGGACAAGTCTCGGACGTTTCAAAAGGCCGGCAAAAACTGGATGCTCAGGGAATGTACGCAGACGAATTGAACGAATTCAGAAGAAAGGTATGCCATGTCGACACAGTATACAGCTATACAGCCCTAACCATTCGATCAGTATTTCATGAAGAACCCGCCGGACAGCTCGAAATCAGGAAGAGAAAGCTCCGCCTCATGAACAGCACTAAAATAGAAAGTAACCAAGATATCGAACAAAAGCAATGACTCTATAACGCCCACCATCATACAAACCAAAATCAGCCACTTCTATACTTCTACAAGTACCATCAAAGCTTCCCCCTTTCCACTTTAAAACCCCCAAACTCCCCTTCCAAATCGACCCCCTCATCCTTCTTAATCCGCTCAACCTCCTTCGCCAACTCCTCCCTCAACAACCCAGCTAGACTCTCACCCTCCTCATCATCCAAATCCTCCCTCTGCCCCCGCCCAAACATCACATAACTCAAATGAGCCTTTCCCTTCCCTTCCGCCGGCCGATCAGGCGGCCTGGGAATAACATGGAAGTGAACATGAGGGACCTGCTGCGCAGCTCTGACACCTAAACCAATTCCAACTCATTAGCCACCAAATACCAAATCAGATAAGTATTCAAGAACAAATATGAACAATAAGACATATAGATATAGCAAATCCCACAAGCCATAAGATCGACAAACCAAATCGCCGCGCCGTCAAGGTTACACAAGCATAGAATATGCAGATAGATAATAAACCATATAGACAGTAGTAGTAAGATAGCAACCGAACCTACCATTATTCTGCACGACATTCCAATTCCACAACGAGTTAAAGTCTCCTTGCTGTTCCTCCCCGAAGAGGGTCCGCATCACGACCCTCGAGATAACAGGGAGCCATTGGCCGATCTGTATCATTCCATGCGTCAGTCACTCAGTCAGACAGTCAGTAGACAACCCATAGTAAATACTGTAGTACGTATTCAAGACACTGCCATAATCCAACAAACCCAATCCAAACCAACCCTTATATAACTACTAACACATAAAATAACAACGCAACTCAAATCCAAATAAGCAAAAGTAAACCCCAATTCCAGAACAAACCCAAAAACAAAAAAAGAAGTTAACAACGTACCTCCCTCCCGACAGCCACCCTTACATCCCCCAACCTTTCACAATGCTCCCTCGTAGCAACCAAAACATGTCCTCTCGTTAAGGGCATAATATCCAAAAACGCGAGGACATGTTTAGTGGATAAGAGGAGGTGTGCATGGCCAGGGCCGTCTGAATTGCTCGACTCGGTAAATGAATCCGGGGAAGGAATGTCAGTAGTAGTAGTAGGGGGCGCCGCCGCGGCAGCCGCTAAATTTAAATGATCATCGTGGGAGGAATTCTTCGGGCGGAGGAATGTCGTTGGTGGGAGGGGCGGGTATTTGTGAGCGATGGCGCAGAAGGGGCATGTGTGGTGATGATCTGAGGTCATGGTAGGGGTTGGTTGGCTGGGTGGGTAAGATAGATAATGGATGGATGGATGGATATCTGGGGTAGGGGATTGGGGGTGGATAGGATGAAGGGTTGCTGGGTTCCTGAGATTGATTGGTGGTAGTTGGGTAGTGACTGGGTCCGTTCCTACGAGCAACCGGGACTAAATATGTGTCTGTGCTTTGGAGCTAGGAGGAGGGAATTCGATCGTCACTGGGGGTATCTTGAGTAGGAATTCGAGATTTGGTTGCTGTGCAGAAGGATGAGGAGATATGGGACGGCTAGCTTGTTGATCCTCGGTGCCTCGGTTCCCAACTCCAGGTCACTGGCAGGTTGGAAACTTCCCGCGCATTAACCACATTTGCTTACTTAGAAGGCTTGTATCTAGGTGATCTGCAAGTAGGATCAAAGGGTGGTACACAAACTTCCTGGTAGTTCAAGGCTAAACTAACCATCCTTAACGCACATTACCGTAATCCTTGCCACTCTATCCATGATATACCCCCGCTAACTCAACATGAAAGACACTAATACCAAAAACAAGCCCTTTTTTCACCTTTCTCTCAACCTTGAGTTTATGCCCCGATGTGTATTGTCGTAGCTGTATGGCATTGGTTCATTTCGCACGCCTTGACCAACATAATGCGGTAGTAGATAGATCGTCACGGTCCTGCGGAAGCTGTGTAATAAGTCCGAAGAGTACCTGACGCCGATGAACAAGAACTTTGGATCCAAAAATAAAAAGAAACGAGTAAATTTCCGTCCTTGAAATGTCCGACGCCTGGAAGTCACACAGGGTAAGACGGGAGAAGGTTATGTAAGGTATCAAAGCAAGTGCGAAACAACCCAGACACTACCAGAAATGAAGAGAATCGAAGAACAGCAGAAGAAACAAAGCCAGATGTGCGCCAGACACCCCTGGAAGAAGCGAAGATGCAAACGTCCGCAACCGAAAACAACAAAATGCCGTTCATAAACATATGCAAGAGGTGCCTAATACCATCACGAAAGAAATACCATCATATGGAATCAACAAACTCCTATCCTCGGTCGTGCTGCCTGACGCCGATATTAAGTCACCAGAGGCGGCGGGTTATTTATTCATGGTCCTTCATATAAGAGTAGGGCTCGGATAGCGAGCTGTTGATATACAGGTGGTGGTATTTCTTCGCCCATTGCCGGGTGAGGATGGATGCTAGTCACGTTAGCGGTTGGTGGTCCAATGTCAATGCTATAGAGGCAACATACCCTTCAAAAACTTCTTGCTGGCGTACTTCTTGAAGAACGCCTCATGAGAGACAGGGCGGTGAAGGTAATCAATCATTAAGCGGAAGACGGGGTCGATCTCTTCTTCAGTGTAACCGGCATAATGAGCCAGGGTGGCATCCTAAGTTATCAATTAGCATAATGAGCCCGTAAGATGTGTGGAAGAAACATACCCAGACACCCCGGTCAAGGATGAGACGAGCCAGATACATGGCAGCAGCCGCCACATGACTCTGGCGGTAACCCATGAACCTGTGGTCCAGGAGGCTGATTTCCATGAGGTACTTGCCGAGAGTACGGGTCTGGATATCATAGTTGTCTGCTTTCGAAATACGACGGAGGAAGTTCATGGGGTTGGGGTAGCTCATGTTGTACTCGAGCGTAGCGAGAATGTGCCGCTCAGCGTCCAAGATCTCGCGATCGGTGAAAGTTCCGTCTGCGACGTCGGTGAAGTTGGCAACGTGTGGCGAAAGAACTTCCTCATACTTGGACGCAATGAACATAGCGGCGACGCCAACCAGTTGAAGACGATCCAGAGCCACCACCTCAGCAGAGAGGAAGCGGTCAATGATGTTGACGGCAAGGAAGAGGGTCTCGGGGAGGAGGCGAAAGCGGGTGTGGACCTCGATGAGCCAGTCGACAAGGATGCCGCGCATCTTCCACTCCAGGTCAGGTTGATGATCGATGTACTCGGCGTTGGGCAAGGTCTCCAGCTCAAGGTCCTTCAGATATTCGAAGATATCGACAACGTATTCAGCAACCATCAAAGGGTCATCAAGATCTTCGGCGTCGAGATCGTCGACAAAATCATCGACAGGCTTTTGCAGAACCTTGGGATCGACAGGAACATTGACATCCTCCTTGGCGTTGGCGAGCTTCTCGGTGAGAGTCTTCTGTTCGGTAACCTTCTTCTCGACTTCGACCTTCTTTCGGGGGCGTGGTTCCTCCTCAGCTGCCTTCTCTTGAATTGCCTTCTCGCTGGATGTCCGCTTGGTGCCCGATCCACTTCCGGGGCGCTTTGTTTCTGTGGTAGGCTTCTTTGGGTTGCTGTCCTTGGGTCCCAGGGCAGCGCGTGACGAGTTGTTGCGAGTAAGTTTCTGAACTCCACCAGCCTGCAATGTTGCTTTAGACGTCAAGCCAACCTTCGTGGCAGCTGGCTTCTTGGCATCCTTGGTCTCTCCATTCTCTGCTTTGGAAACATTGCTCACATCACCAAGGGCGGCGCGTCTCCGGGTTCCGGTGGTAGTGGTGGTGGTCGCGGCCTTCTTCGTCTGGAGCGGCTTCTTGGCGGGGGGAGCCCCAGCGTCATTGACTGACAGGGCAGCGGCCTTGGCCCGCGTCAGACGCGTCGATGGGCCATTCTCATCGTTCTCGTTCATCGTGCCTCTCGTACGAAGACTCCGAGCCTGTTGAACAGTTAGAAATATACGCGTGCAAGATGGACCTTCAAGCCCATCGAGCTCGCGACCGAGGATTGCACAGCGCGTAGTGAGAGGTCAAGGACACTTACAGGTGGCATGATGGATAGGAGGAGAAGGTAAGATGAATATAAGGAGGGGCAAGGAAGGGAATAAGAGTAGAGTGCAAGAGTATGGTTCTGCAGGCGGTTGGAAAGTCTAGTCAGCATTCCAGGAGAGATTACCCCAGTGGAGCTCAAATACCGGTTGCCGGAAGGTAGATTTGCACGTACCACGCGTGAATATGTGTCCAACCCCAATCAATTAGTCTGAATGCAAGGTTTCTCAAGTCGAACGGTCGGGTACTTGGAAGGAATTTGGCAGGAGTGGGCTCAGAATCGTGGCATATATGGCTTTGTTGATGCTATTGACAGGAGCTCGCAAGACCCGAGACACGTAACTTTCCACGGCGTTGACGGCCCCAAAGTATGTTTTTATGGTGATATAGCAAGGTAGGGTAGTAGTTTATAAGTAATGACACGAGAATTTGGCGAAGAAACGGGGTCCTATTAGGGGTGGTGGTCGCCTCCCTGGAGTAGATGATGATGGAGAGGAGTAGGAAAAGGTGGTAAACTTGACAGGGCAAAGAGGATGTTTGGCCCTAGTCTTAGCGTGGAAACTGGCCAGGCTGGGAAAGATGCCCCACAGCACAATCCAGTGGGATCGCGTGGATTGCGGATTATTAACTGCTGTACAACGTCGTGTATATGCAAGCCTGGAGACAATAGTCACGGTCCCCAGGTATTATGGTATGTACGGTGAAGGCCAATTGAGAAATAGTGGTAGTTGGTAGAAGAGAAGTGGAGGGAAAGGAAGAGTGACAGACGGGAAGAGACGGCAACGAAGGGGGGGAAAGAAGGCAATTAAGAGAAGCAAGTCTATGGTTCTGTATGGATCGATCGCATGTATGTATGTGTATGCGTATGTATGACGGACGTGACTTCCCTGGCGGAAGTCGCTGTAAAAAGGGCGGAATTGGTGGTGTAGAAGGTGGCAGGCAGGGTGGTAATCATACAGTCACGGTTTACGGGAGGACTCCCTAAGGGAAACAAGGCGGATCCTCATCCATGGTCGATGCCTGAGCTGACCCAGGCAGGAAAACACCCTCGACTCTCCAAACGCCCGTCGCGAGCAAAAACGTGATGGAGCGCGGCCACGATCGCCAAAACAATTGCTGGTTGCGCGGCAACCGACCCGGAGCTTTTACGCTTTTTCGTTCCCTTCGGACGTGTTGCCGTGTCGCGCCGTCCCGTGACTCAAAGCCTGAGCCACACTTAGTCAGTCCCGGAAGCGGCGGTGCGATTCAAGTCATGTGCCAGAGCGTCAAGCCACACCTCCCAATCCATGCCAGACATTTTTGCTCCGGAGATCGAGTAGAAGTGCGGCTATTGTCACCGGTGCCCCCAACAACACTCCAATTGAGCACGGTGTTGCTGATAGTGGTGTCAGGGACGCTGGAAATTTTGCATTGCCTGTTTTGTTGTCTTTAATTCTAAGCATGTCAAAGCAGTAGCTTGCTTGGATTTCCTCACACCACTTAGGGTACCACATTCCGGTATTGCTTTGACATCTCCGATCCACGACCGATTGACATTGAAATCCTTCCGACTTTTTACCTCACCACATACATTACACTCCAATATGCTTCAGACTCGCTTGGCCCTTACGGGCCTTCGTCTTCCGTTTCGAACCTTGTCTACGGCCGTTTCGTCGCGGGCCTATTCGACTGTCGTTCGCGAGCAAGAGAATCCGTCCGCTGACGAGCCTGCAAGTTCGACCTTCGACCCCAGTATCGCCTTCGCCCCTCCACCCACTCGTGATGACGCCGGTATCCTTCTACGCTCCTACACTCCACGAACTCCCGGTATCAGACATTTGCGCAGACCGATCAATGACCACCTGTGGAAAGGACGCCCGGTGCAGAAGTTGACCTTCCCCAAACGAGGTCAAGCCAAGGGTGGTCGTAACAACTCCGGTAGAGTGACTGTCCGCCATCGCGGTGGTGGCCACAAGCGTCGTATACGAATGGTTGATTTTGCGCGTGACGCTCCCGGTCCGCACGTGGTGGAACGTATCGAACATGACCCTGGTCGGAGTGCTCACATTGCTCTCGTCCGTAGCCAGGAGACCAAGAAACTCAGTTACATCCTGGCTGCGGAGGGCATGCGGGCTGGTGACGTTGTCCACAGTTACATGTCTGGTATCCCGGAGGAACTCTGGAAGAGCATGGGAGGTACTGTAGACCCTGGTGTCCTCGCTGCCAGAACCGCGTGGAGAGGAAACTGCCTGCCGCTGCACATGATGCCTGTTGGTACTCTGGTCTTCAACGTTGGCCTACGCCCTGGTCAGGGAGGCCAGCTCTGCCGTAGTGCCGGTACTTTTGCGACAGTTATCGCCAAGGGTATCGATATTAAGGCGAAGCGTGATCATTCGGACGGCCAAGAAGGCGAGGCCGGGGCCGTTGAGCAGAAGCCTCTCACGCAACGCGAGAGGCAAAGAAAGGAGCGCATTTCTCAACATGTCACCATCCGTCTTCAGAGTGGTGAAGTTCGTCTCATTCATAAGGACTGCTGCGCGACTGTTGGCGTCGCTAGCAACCCTAACCACCAGTACCGCCAGCTTGGTAAGGCTGGTCGCTCCCGTTGGCTCAACATTCGGCCTACTGTTCGTGGTCTCGCCATGAACGCCGCCGAACATCCTCACGGTGGTGGTCGAGGCAAGTCGAAGGGTAATGTTGACCCGAAGAGTCCTTGGGGTATGCCGGTATGTATTCTCGCTTCACTATTCCTCCCTTTGCTTCCAGGCCTCGTCCGTGCTAATGTCTTCTGTTCTTACAGGCGAAATCCGGTTACAAGACCCGTCCCAAATGGAAGATCAACAAGGCTGTGGTTCATCCCAGAGAGCGCAACCAGGGCAAGCGTCGTCGTGGATACCACTAAACGCCGTCGTGGACATGAAATTCTTCTTTATTCGTTGGACCTCCTTACAGCAATCTCACGGTTATATCAAATGTGATTTCATCATCGCTCGGGGTAAAAGCTGGGTAAAGCAGAGCATGGATCTTCGGAATCTCCCCATCTGTCGAAGGTCCTTCTTGTGGGTCTAGATGGTGGGAAGTCTTTTCCTGTTCACCTTGTTGTACTATACTTTATTTTGTCTTGGCTACGATGGGGGATTCCAGCTGTCTATACTCCAGCTCCTTTGCTTTCTATCCGGATTTCCTTCATGTGTTGTTTATGCTCCGGCGTTTCTCTTGTATACTACATGGGTTAGAGTACAATCAATCCTATTACACAGTGCACATATAGTTTTTGATCAGCTCCTCTACTCTTGAGAGTATTGTATCTGGTGGAGTAGACAGCGACCAGTCCTGGCATGGGATTAGGGCGGCATCGGGGCGAACGAGCCGCGGGTCTAGAACTGGCTGAGACCGAGAGAATCGAGCCGAAGTCAGTGGAGTAAGATCATCGCATCGCGCTCAAGTAACTCACTACGTTCAACATCGCCTTTACGTCCGCGGGAAAACCGCTGTAAGCTTTACTCATTAATGGTCGCGAATTACGTTTAGTTAGCATGATGCCTGACTAACAAATCAGGATCCTTGGTTCCGTTACGAGTCCTGTAACGTCCTCAGCCTGACCGACATAAGCTCGACCGTGCACCTATCATCTTTCCCTATAGCCTAACGGCTTTTTTGTTTTTTGGCCTTCGCTTTATGCATACCGGTCTTTTTCGCCCGTTCGATGCCTCCAAGCATCCATGATCGAGGTACAGCACCTCTAGCTCGGAAAAGCTGTGCCCACATTGCAGGCCATTCTCGACACACATCAGCTCCTAACCCCGCATCGCGCGCCCGGCCATGGCTGATAATGCCAATCGTCTACCGGGCCAGACTCAAGCTTCTCCATCCCAGCCACAGCTGAGTGCAGCGCATGAAGAGGCAGCGTCGATTGCCGCAGAGCATCACAATCCAAACAGCCATTATATTCCCCGCCCTAAGCGTATCGCATGCGTTCTTTGCCGAAGGAGGAAATTAAGATGCGATGGGAAAAGACCCAGTTGCGGGACATGCTCTCGGTTAGGTCATGAATGCATATTCGATGAAGTGCGCAAGAAAAGCGGTCCAAAGCGGGGTTATGTGAAGCAGCTAGAAGCACGTCTGGGTATGTTCATTGTCTGTCATTATTCGACGCTCGATTTCTGATCGGAGGCATGTGAGCGCCGATCTCACTGTCTGCTCCGCTAACACCACGCTTATTATGCAGCCCAGGTCGAAACTCTACTTAGAAATCAAGGAGCACAAGTACAGCAAAGCCAGGGCAATAGTCCTATTGGTTCGGTGATAACCCATTCGGCTGGGGCGCCCGGCATCTCTCTCCAGGATGATGTTCATATGCAGTCTCCGGAGGGAGAGGCCGATCCTATCTCTTCGACTCCCACATCGTATCATGCAGGAGCAGCAAGCAGCGATAATCCCCAAGGTAGCTTGATAAGCCTGGGGCTGGAAGAACCCCTTCCCACGCAGGAGGTTATTGATGAGCTGCAAGTTTTCCCCGTACAATCGAGATCTGTATCCGCCTTCTAATGCTATACAGGACTGCGATATATTTCAAGAAGATACATCTTCGACTTCCCATGATTCACCGCCCAAGGTATTTGGCAGCTGCAAGCCTTGCTCCTACCTTACGGCCTCCTATATGCTTACAGTACATGATTTGGTGCCATGCGGCGTCTGTCACGGACAAATATTCCAGTCTTCACAGTATTTTCTACGAGCGGGCTCGTAAGTACGCCGAATTGGACGAGTTAGAAGGTCTTGGTGAGCGTGTGGTGTCTATCTCACATTGTCAGACCTGGGTACTCATCGGCACATATGAGTTCAAAATGATGTTTCTTCCTCGAGCGTGGCTGAGTGTTGGAAAAGCTGCCAGACTGGCGACGATGCTAGGCTTATGTGGTATAGATGAAGATGGTCTCAACGTCAAACAGACCTTGCCACCTTCCAAGGACTGGTCTGAAAAAGAAGAGCGAAGGAGAGTATTTTGGATGGCTTTCTGTCTCGATAGATACGCAAGTGTCGGTACTGGATGGCCTGTCTCGTTTGATGAAAGAGATGTCAGTTGCTCCAGCATATGCTTCAATGTCCGGGAATAGTCTTATCTGACACAGCTCGATAGATCTTCACGAACCTTCCAGCGTCTGAGGAATCATTCATCGATAACAACCCGCAACAGACTGGTCGTCTCGCAGACATACTGATAACCGGGAATATTTCCACAATGTCAACTTTTGCAGGAGTTGTGATATTAGCTTGCATGTTCGGGAAGAATGTCGCACATCTGCATCGACCTGATCCCCAAGATAATGAACATGATCTCACTGGACTGTACTGGCAGCGGCACCGTGCCTTTGATAATCTCCTACTCCACTTTGCGCTCTCCATGCCAAGTCATCTGCGGCTGACAGTCTTGACGACCGACCCGAACATTATATTCTGCAACATGGCTATTCACACAGCAACGATTTGTCTGCATCAAGGGGCAATATTCGTAGCGGAAAAGAATAAAATGCCAGAGCAGATCGCCACCGAGAGTAAGCGACGGTGTATACTAGCTGCCGATCAAATTTCCAACATAATGAAGATGATCATTCATCAAGATCTGAGTGTTGTCAGTTATATTATGACTTTTAGCTCTCTGAACATGCTAACAAGAAGCAGATGGACCCATTCATGGCGTTTTGTATCTACGTGGCCGCGCGGGTCTTCATCCAATACCTGAAATTTCGCCCCAGTGACTCCGCTGCACGTTCATCTCTACAATTTGCCTTTTCTGCCCTCGATGCCTTTCAAGAAAAGAATCCGCTAGCAGAACCATTCGTCATGCAACTTGAACTTGATATTGGTGGAACTGCCTTTGGAGATATTCGCGCTTCGAAAAGGATGTGTATCGCGTCTCATATACCGCAGAATATGGTAAGCATGCTTGCTATAGCCGTGAAGACGATCTGCTGATCAGCGACCACCCTAGACTTGCGCGAACAATACACAAACTGCAAGCCAATCAAGAAGCCAGGACGACAATACAACCCCAGATCACCCTCGAAGGACTTCCGGATCCACGCCCACTGAATATGCAAGTCAACACACTACCACTGAAATGCCACCAGGCCGACCAAGCACAACGATCCACAGCGGCTCCAAAACATCCAATCATGCAGCACCGACCAGAAATGGCAATAATAATCCAAACTTGGATACGAACCTGTCTTCTACATCCAACGGCAACACCAACACCCACCAGTCCCACCAGTCAACCAACTCCATACCCTCACACCTAGCTTCCACTCAGAACAACCTCGCCTACTTGGGACCAGCGACATACCCCTCATCCACACAAGTTCCTATACAGCCAGAACTATTCTCCTCCAGCGTCTTCGCTCCGTTCCAATATGAGGCCAACACTGCCTTCCCCAACCAGCCAACTCAGCTCGATTCCACGAGATCCGAAAACCCCCTCACTACCGATCCTACGTGGACTACTTCAGAGAATCCTATCCCTGATCTCAGCGATGGAGACCTAGTCAACAACCCGCCTGACGGCCCCGAAGCTCTCAGCGACGCTCAATGGGCATTACTCGCCTCGGGAGGCTGGGAGTCGTGGCAAGGGTTGAACTTCATGCCTTGAGCGTTAGCTTGAGCATGACTGAGTTTTTGGTGATGTGACCTACGATATATAGACGACTAACGATTGGTGTTGAATATACTATGAGATTTTACCTCTTCGACAAACTTGTCAAGTGTAGCACGTTTACATCTCCAGGACAGCATTCGCGAACCGGGCCAATATATCAAACCAGCACAGCAAAAGGACTCCATACAAGACATGCAATGCCATGCTTGATATCTACCGTAAACATCATAAACTCAAATAAAACATCCAACGCACCAAACGCCACAACACACACATACACAAAATGCGAAAGAAATATCAAAATATCAACCATCTCTACAGATTCCCACCCGCAGCCCCTACAATTCTCAATCCGCCCGGCCCCGACCCATCCGCAGTAGTAGAATACGCAAGCCAATACCTCGAAGGATGCCACGCGACAGCCGGAATCCCCGAATTGGCATTGCCCCCCGTAGGAACGGTATGAACACTCTCGCCCGTTTCCGCATGAAAGATCTCCAAGCCATTACCGCCACAGCCTACCTCGTCACAAGCACCGCAGATGAATCTACCGTCGAAGCTCCAGCTCACGCCGCGCACGGCTCCACCATTGTTGCTCGAAACAGTGCGCTTGCAGATCCAGTCTGTTGTATCCCATAGCGAGATGAGGGCGTCGCTGCCCCCGACGGCGAGGTAGCGACCTGTGGGTGCTAGAGAGATGGAAAGGCAGGCGGATGTATGGGCGTGGAGGGTGTGGAGGACGTCGAAGGACGGGTAAGAGATGATTTTGACGGTGCCTTCGCCGGTTGTGGCGAAGAGGTGGAGGTCGGGGGAGGAAGGGGTGGAGATGTGGTGTGAGAAGGTTGTTGCGTTGGTTTGGATGGGTTGGGGTGTGGTTCTAGGGCTGTGTAGGTTGATGGTGTAAAAGTGGGCTTTTGTTGCTGTTGCTGTTGCGCTGCGGCGGCGTTGGGTGGTCCGTCTGGGTGGATGGTTGGGGTGGATGGGGATTCGACGGAGATGGGTATGAGGGTGTCGTCCTGCAGATGGTGGGCATTTGGTCAGTTGTGAAGTTCCTGGTGCTGAGCGCACCGGCTTTGTGCTCGTGGGTGTTTCGCTCACCTTCCTACCAACAACCATTACCCTTCCATCAGCAGACCAGGACAAGGTGAATGCCTCGCCTCCAACGTCTAGACGACTGACGCAGGTCTTTGACCGGACATCCCAAACGCGAACGGTTCCATCCGTAGAGCAGCTAGCCAGCTCGGAGTCTCGAACAGGGTTGAACACGACTTTCTCAATTCCCGCAGTATGGCCGCGCAGTTCGGTGGAGTATTTCACTTGCGAGCGCTCAGGGTTCCAGATTCGAAGGGTACGGTCTGCGGATCCGGTGGCAATAAGTTGACCGGTAGGGTTCCATGCTATTGTGCGAATTCTAGATTGTTCATCGCCCTCCATCAGTATGCGTTTGGCTTCTCGTTCATGAGAGTAATTTGTCGGATGGGCATTTACGTATGAGAACCAGGCCCACGAGCAGCAGGATCATGGTAGTTTTGTGTTTTTAGACCACCAAATGCAAGACCAAATCGGTCTTTTGGGAGGAGGTTCCGTCGAGGAGGCGCCATTGTCAAGGTAGTACTTGTGTAATTGTTGCTGCTGCTGGCGGGTTCGCGATTGCGGCAGCAGCAGCCTGGACTGATGCCCCGCGGGGCTGTGAATGGCGGAGTGGGGAGAAATTCCTTGCCAATAGAATGGCAAACTGGTCTTCAGTAACGAAAGTTAATTTTTTAGAGCAATTGCGAAATGACGCTGTCGAATTGTGGGGAGATTTGGAAGTGCTCCTGCGCGCGATGTTCGATCGATGCCCGCAGAGACCGTGAGGCGCGTTCGGTGATTGGCTGGAGCTCGGCGATAGAAGATCAGATTCGAGATGACATAATGCTGGCACTCGCCAGTTGGCTAGGCGCCTGTCCAGAGCTACAAGTCTAGTAAATGGAAGTTTTTCATTTTCATGAAACTCATGAAAAGCCCTGTTCTTTATTTATAGTTCGGTAAGTTGTCCAATTCATGCGATAACAGTATTCCTTGGTAGGATTGCCCCGAACTTGCAATCAGTATATGGTCAGGTGACCCAGCGGAACATTCCAAGCAGCAATTATCTTGCATATCAACCAGTAGTATACAACGGAACTATACAGGAGCTTTTTGCATCTGCGTGCTTGACTCCATCAGATATTCCTGGTTGATGCAGCACGCCTTCTATTAGCCTTCTAGTGCGAATCGAGCAGATATTGTAGAGGGCGAAAATTCTCTCCGGGCTCAACCACAAATTTCATCTACCGGCATCTAAGACTTGAGCTTGACTGCCGACGGCCTGATCGACGAATAGTCAGGCTTTGTTATATCCTTCTAAGGACTATGCTCGACTTTGAGGATGACGCGTCTAAGCGCGAAAAATGCTACACCACCATAGGCCAACTGCCTGCTTTCATCGATCCCAAGCAGCCACCTACGAAACGGTCCCCCTTCTCGGCCATCCTTGGCCATCCATTCGTTCACACGGTAAGACACCCTGTGTTCTAGATATGATCCCCTAGATTTTTCTGCTGTCTGTTTGTGCTGTAACAGTTCATCATATGCACGCTGGCACAATATCAGAGAAATGCTAACTAGTCGCTGTGCAGGTTGAAGTCATTCTGCCCAAGGACATCCTGTCATATGTGCAACCCCAACTGCAGAATTTGCGATATGCTAGAGTGTTCATGTCGCTATCTTCTTTGCTAGAGGGTGATTTTTTCAATACTTATATCAAAACCGGTAATTATTGCTTTTTTTCGCCTTTCATCGCCTCACTGGGGCACTAAGACCGAATTAGTAGCTAACATACATGGTACAGGGAATATCCTCATGATATCAGAGGGACGCTCAGGCTCAGACAGTGTCTTCACACTCAAAGATGGTCTATAGTCCCCAGCTATGTTTTCCTAGCCTACTCAGCTAACAGCCCCCTAGGCATCTTGAAATTGGAGTTGAGCAAGGAAATCTTCGAAAGAACAGGGCTTACAGGGAAGCCTGTTCGCAGCGGAGGAAGAAAGCATGCAAAAGAGAGGTTCAGTATGTGCTCTCCATACCATGTCCCCCAAATTGAGGAGACATGCTGACAATATCCCTGACAAACAGTCGTGGAGATCAACCTTCGGCTTCCGTCCATGCTTCACGGCAAGAAGGGCTTCGAGAGGATCGTATGGGCTTTCAAGAATGTCTTGAACCAATCAGTAGCTTGGCTATTCTTCGACCTCACAACTAGCTTGAGTGGCGTTTCCGAAGGTACTATACCTCATTAAGCACCCCTCTGCGAATTATCTTTCAGGGCTATACACTAAAACACAAGCAGGCGACCCCTCCCTAAAGGGAAACCAGCCCCAAATCATCAATTGCCAGCCTATTATCACCGAGCACTCCAATATCCTTGTCCCCCCTCTCCCTGGATCCGAAATCACAGACGAGTCCCTTGAAGCAGCAGAACTAGAAGACCACTGCAACGAGCTCTCCGAGTGGCTTGCAATGGTATCCCTCGGATCGCCCCGCGTATCCGTCTATGACGATGTGGATCCCTACCTATGTCGTTACAGTGTACCCGATTCGGATAATGCAAAGTCTACCAGTCTTGTCAGCTTGAAGTGGCATGGACTTGTCCCGTCTCGTTGGATTATCGAATTATTGGTCGCGGTATTGTATGTTCCACATGCCTTGCTATAGGATTTATCTGATATTGGATGACCTGCTAACTTGGCTATCTTGTGCGTGTTTAGGAAGGAAACTGCTCCCAAGTCTATTGCCCCGTACGCTTGGTTCGCGCTTTCTGCGAGTGCGCTGGGAAGAGAAGCCGTGGAGGCACGCGATGGGTACACGGTTATGGTGCTTCCGACACATGTGCCAAATCAAGATGCATTTGGAGTGCAGGCAGATAGTTTGTCCAGGAGTGTTAGTCGGCACTTTATATGTTGGGAGTACGTCGGTGCTTCGATTCTATGAACTGTCTTTATGCTAGTATACATACCGTTGTCGAGTGGGCTCAGGAGTTACTATTCTTCGATACTATACCCCAAATCTAAAAAGCACTCACTATTTTCTTGGTGCCAAACACGTACGCAGGCTTATATAGTCCAAATTATAATATTCTTCTGACCTATTGAAGTTGTCCTGCATGTCCATTGGTATCCAATATCATATTCCCTTGTCGCTTTCATTTAACCATCCATCCCAAAGCCCATACCCAATACACGCCAAACGATATTTCACATCCCTTTAAACAAAAAGAAGTAGAGACCAAGACATAGAACACAGTTATCCGATAAGATCATTGACCATATCCTGCAGAACAGGTCGATTTCCAAGTACTCTATTACCGCTCATCAACTTAGCGCCCCTTTTAGCAGGTTTCTTCAAGCCAGTCGGCGATAGTCGAGTTTGCACAGGCCCGAAAGGACTGCGAGTCGTCTTCTTGGATGACACGGGGCTCTTGCTCTTCTTTGGACTAGGTGTAGACCTGTCTGGACAGGATTGCGATGGAACCATTTCGGATTCAAAAATATGATCCATCATGGCATCTCTAGGCAAGTCATAAACCCATCCTCGCTCTTGGACTAGTTTCACGTATTTTCCTAAGAGCTCGTTGCCATCGCGGAGAGTACTCTTGCTTCCGACAACGAGAAGCTTGGTCCGTGCTCTGGTGAATGCGACATTGACGCGTCTCCAATCACGGAGTAGATCACCGACGTTCTTGTCAGCGTTGCTCCGCACGCAGCTTAGGATGATAACCTCTTTGTCTCGGCCCTGGAACTTGTCTGCTGTGTGCATCTCAAGATCTGGTAGGTAACGACTAAGGTTTTGTTTCAGGAGCGAGAGTTGGCTTCGGTAGAGCGCTATGACACCTATGCTGCGTGCCGGAATGCCGCTGGAGATGAATGCTTCAACGAGTCGGCTGCAAATGGTTGCTTCAGTAGGGTTCACAATCCGTGAACCGTTTGCTACATCCAATGCAGGTATGGAAAGCGTATCCGTGTTAACAAGTCGAGTTTTGGCAGACGGTTCGACCAGATCTTTGAGCCAGCAACGACCCTGGCTTGTACCCAAGCAAACCTGTCGCTGACTATGAGGTTCGGGGAAGGTGCTGGGATGATGTTGCTTGAGACCGCCAATATTGGGGATATTGAGCGAACGCACTGCAACATCTGCAGTCCCACATTTGAGACGACCAGAATAGATGAGAGTATTGGATAAAAGCATGATGTCCTCACACATTCGATACTGGTGTTCCAGATTGACAACAGATGCGGGGTGTGAGTCAGACAGCAATTTGAAAAGACTGACATCCAAGCCGCCTTCTTGGGCCTCCTTGTTCTGCACCAGCGGAGGCAGTTGATAGTGGTCACCAACAAGGATAAATGTCCTAGCCATTCGAATAGGCCCTAGACATACGGGAAGCGTGATTTGGGAAGCCTCATCAACAATACAATAGTCGAACATGCGTTGGGAAAAGATACCATGACTGACCCCGAGGCAGGTAGTCGCCACCACTTGCGAATCTTCGTAAGAGGCTTTCAGCTCTTCCATTGTGGTTTTAGGCACCGCTGCCAAGTCTGCAAACTGCTGAACATCAGGGTGCACTTTTGCAGGAGCCCCGATTCGCAAGATACGGAAGTTGTCATCCTTGATTTTCAGTAGGATGTTATCAACCGCTGTGTGGGTGTATGAAGTCAACAGGACGCTCTTTCCTTGTGCCACCAAGGCACGAATGATATGAGCAATGGTGGTTGTCTTGCCAGTACCAGGCATTCCAAGGACCAAGGCATAATCTTCAGCTCTCATGACCTTGTCAATGGCTTGTCTCTGATCGACGTTCAAGGCTGCCTTGTCGGATTCAGACAAGGTATATGCAGATGCTGTGGTCTTGAAAGCGGGTGCCTCCCGTTTAACAATCAGCCTCCTCAGCTGTCTAGCCTGAAATAGATCCCGTTCCATCATGGAAACCAGGTTCGTTCGAACAATTGCCATGCCGTTGCTGAATTCGTCCTTGTCTAAACGGTAGACCGGCTCTTCATCCGACTCAGCCGGTGACGGAGAGGCACCGTCCTCGAGTATTTCCATTATACCCTTGAATGACTGGTTACGCTCGGCATCAAAACCTCTAGCTCTCGTTCTGGCGTTATGTAGCCGCCTGTCTACCGCGACGGTGATGTGTCTTCGGCTGACTTGCACAACGTATCCATTTGCAAGAGCAAAATGGCCCTTCTCATCAGAAACCACGATAGGTTCTCCAAGTGTGAGTTGGGATTCGGTAAACGAAAATGATGAATGGGGTTGCTTTTTGACGAAGGTATAGCGATAGCGGTTAATTTTGGGTCCATCTTTATCCTCGTAGGAGGAACTAGGGTCGATGAGGACATTGCCAAAGCATCGGCCCAAAGCCTCGCGCTCGCTACTAAGCATGGTCCAAAGCTCGCGTTTGAATCGGATCATGTTCTTTTCCTCTTTGGTCAACAGATCATCCCATTTTCGAAAGAAGTCGCGATCATCAGAAGTCAGGTGGTCCATAGCGTTGACAAAGTCGTCACCAAGACCGCTAGTTTCACCGTCACCATCATCTGCAAGCTTATGGTAGATGAAACAAGGTGTCTTTGAGTAGCACTTGTTGCAAAATGAGGACTTTTTGGCCATCGGCGGCAGGTGGGTTCTCTGGCGCATATATCCGACTATGCGATTGCGCTGCTGGATCATCTGTAGGAGCTCATGCCGAATACCACGAATGCGGAATATTTTCGTTGTTTCAAGGTAATATAACAATCCAAACGTACACTCCACATCTACAGGAACGCATCAGTTTGTATCAATAAGGGAACTGAACACCGGTGGGGGTTTTCTTACCGTAGCGATCAGAAAGCAGCAAAGTATACAGGGCCGTCTGTGCCCTGTGGGCCTGATTTGTATCCCTATTGCCTGTTTTGAGCTCAAGCGGTATGACCAGGTTTTTATCGCTTTCGCCGTCATGACAAGCGACTTGCACAGTGGCATCAACGTTTCCTTTGAGTCCGTACATTGGAGACCAAATATGCTCCTCGACTTCAAGAAGCTTATTGATACTCAAACTCATCTTAGAGCTGCCACGATCCTCAACCAATGATTCTGCCTTTAATTCAGTCAGTACCACTACCACGATTTGAGGCCGGGTAACTTACACTTGGCTTTACCCTGAGGAACCGCTCTGCCCAGGCTTGCACGCCCGGTATTCGACTCATGATATATTCAACGGCCTCCGGAATAGTCATGCGGATCAGGTATAGATCCTCGATGCGCTTGACAGTAACGCCTTCAATCAGAGTCCTTAGCGAGTTCGTATCCCATTTGTTGAGCTTGATTGCTTCTTGAAACACCTCATGAAAAATGTTCCCAAAGACTTGCGCTTTTCCTAGATCGGACGTGTATTTGATACGATCCTGCAAGACGGCGCGGCGCTGGCAACTAATTGAGTCTGCTACGACAGTTGCAGAGACCAGGTGGTCCGGATGGAGTATGACCATGTTCCTAGAATCATCCACGATGCAATGTCCTGTGGCATCGAAATCTCCGATTAAGTGAATGTATGACTCCTTGACGCATGGGCACTCGCACCAGGACTCTCGAAGGATGACGACTTTCTTTTCCTTCGTCCTCTCATCTTGTACAGAAAGCACCTATTTCTTGCTGTCAGTGGCAATGCAAAGCTGTTATTCTCAATGATGTCTGACCTGTTCTGGCTGAACGCGCCCTTTGAGGGTTTTATACGCAGACTCGGCAATATCAACAATCAGGTAACGCTTGATGGCTTGTCGGCTTCTAACGTTCTATATATGGGGCTTAGTAAGTATGTAACACATGAACCCACTAAGAATGACAAACATCGTTTGATGCATCTGCTCCTGAATGCATCATGGATTGTTCGATGGCCTCTATATCCAAGCCATCATCGTCAAATTCATCACCAAAAGATGCATCCTGTTCTCCTTTCTTCTGAGTGGATACTTCGGACATCGCGTTAGGATAATAGCCAGATTTTGCTCCGGGAATTGGTTGTCTAGAAGCTGCTGGCCCCGTAGAAACAGGCTTTGCCATATCCGTGCTCTGCGAATTTTCGCATTGAGCGAGAAGATCCTCCATACCGTCCGATAGACCATCAAAATCATCGTCAAATTCATCAGCATCAAGGGTATCAACATCATTAGTCGGTTTATCCACATTAGTTTTCATAGTCACTGCACCAGTCTCTCTCCATTCCTTAGTTGAGGCGCAGGCCTCTGTCGAAGCCTCATTTTTCGCAAGTCCGTCACTCAGAGCTTTGTCTTTAAGGTGAGAGGAACCGACATCCACAAATGGATCCATTGAGGCTTCGGCGAGATCGAAGAAGTCCTGGTCAAATTCATCGTCCCCGTAATCCGATGAGGACTCTTCCAACGGTTTCCTGTCTTCAGGGGCAGCATGAATGATTCTGGGCTCTTGCACTTGGCTGGTTTTCTTCGAGGCTTGAGCTTGGCTCTTTCTATCCTCTGTCGGGGATTTTGACCTACTACGCCGGCCTTGGTTGCGTGCTGGTATAGGAGACGAGTCAGTTGTGTCCGGTAGCGGCACAGGTGCCTTTTTCAACGTCTTCTCGATTTCCTCCACGAGAGAACTGATCTTGGGGCCTTGATAGTTTCCCGAGTTGACAACATTGCTCCTTGTCCTTGAGAATATGCTTCGTCCTGTACCAAAGTTCTCCTTGTCGATCCTTCTTCGCTTGGCTTTTGAACTGGGCCATTCTGCCATACAGCTGTTTGATCGTCTAAGACCTGAAGAGTCTCGGCTGGTGCGCACTGACGCTGGCGTTTGCGGGGAAGAAGAGAGGAGATTTGTGAAGCGCGGTCGAAGTATCTCACCATTGCCGTTGGCAAGGGTCTTGCTCACATAGCTGTTCCACAGGTCGGCGGCGAGGTCATGCTGCGGAGTCTTCTGGAGTGTCTGAGAATTCTGCAAGTCAAGAGATCCTTTACGCCTGCTCTTCGAAGTCCCTGCCAGGGGAGAGCTAGTCGGGGATGAGCTGTGGCGGCGCTTTTTACCATGTGCAGGCGTCTGGGACATTCTATCAGGATTTGAGCTTGCGGGCACATGCTGCCAAACAACGTAATCTTCTGGGGTAAATTCCGGCATAGGAGCATGGATGAAAGCATCCTCTGCATTGTTGATAAGGTCCGCTAGAGGGATCCTATTTCCTGGAGTGTGAGGGCATTCTCTCGGTGCCTTTGGTGCTGCTGCCTCTGCTGTTTGATTTTGATTATTTCCATTCGACTTCTCGGGTTCCGTCACTCCATTCAACCAAGACGTCTGGTTCTCCTTGTTCGCATGGCCAGGTGCTAAGCTAGTCTTCTGAGGGGGCTTGTCAGGAGTTGGTCTATTCTGTTGGTTGTACCGAAAAGCATTCAATTTCGACCGTGATTGCGAAGATACCCTGTGCGAGCCGTTGTCTGTGTTCATCGTGTTTATAGTTGGCGTTCTTCGGGAGCTGGGGGGCAATGGGGCATCTCGAGAAGAAAGGCCTAGGCGGTTAGCAAGAGTATGTCAAGTGGATCCTCGATCATTCGAATGACCGCGAACAATAGGTAGTTACCTTTAGTTTATCTACTGACATCAGAATTCCATGCCAGGCGAGTCATAAGTGACAGGTTCAAGACAGAGTGCTAATGCAGATCAGAGTTGGTTCGATGCACGCAATAGTAGCAATGCCGATGCGCGATATGCGATAAGCCAATCTAATTGGTCTCGAACGCGTCGCGCGTCGAGTGCTTATGCCTCAGGCATGTACTAATTAATGCCTGTGACATCAGGCCGAAAGGCGGCAGGGAAATTTGCCTGTTCGGGCCTAGCGGCAGAATCCCAGCAGTCATCGGCCTTTTGCGGCTTCTGTGAACATCAACCGCTTGACCGTCACATCACCCCTCCACCTGCCGCTCCTGCCGCTCCAACGAAAGTAGTGATATTTGAAATCACTCAATTGGGTCGACTGTTGTCGTCGCTGGTCGAACGGATTTCTAATTTCGGCATACCAATCCAGCGGTCGTTGCCTCGCCATACCCGACAGGGATCCTCACCCGCCACCGCCTGTCCCTTATCATCCACGTTGAAAACTAGGGGTTTCTGAATTACAACAGACCCTCCGCACATTCACAATGTCCGCTCGTCCGTTGTCGCATTGCCTTCGCGCTCGCTGTGTCCCCCGCCGGGCCCAGAACATCCAGGGCTTCTCGACCCGCAGCAACCTCCGCGGTGACCACTATGACCCTCCTACCGGCTACCTGTTTGGCCTCAAGCCCGGCCAGAAGTATGTGAAGGAGGGCTGGGAGAACATGTGGTACTATGGATTCATCGGCAGTCTTCTCGTTGCCGGTGTCGCATACGTCTTCAAGCCAGACACTTCGTATGTTCAACCCCTCTCCCTCGTGTGACAGCCGAAGTGGATTGTCTTAAGATCTTTCTGCGCGTCACGACAATACTTTTCCCTGTATTAGCAGAGTCGAGGATTAGATGCTGACATGACCACAGGATACAAACATGGGCTCTGGAAGAGGCTCGCCGGCGGCTGGAGGCCGAAGGCATTTTGGAGGACCCTGACAAGGTCCAGCGCAAGTAAGGTGCTTTGGTCCGGAAATATCTTGTACTTTGTACATAGAGCGGTCGGGCGTGGAAAACATTCTTCGTTCGAGTGGTGTCAATAGGCACATTACGTCCGACCCTAGACAGGGCTTTTCTATTTCATTTCACTGTTCGCCTCCAATTTCCTGCGTGTATCTGTCATTCTATATCCTGAATCTTTTCGTTGACATGCTTGCAATGTTTCAAAAACGGGAGAAATAGATGTCTGTACCTTACACATGGGTTGTATGATGTGTATCTCGGTTTTCGGCTACGTTCACACTGGATAGCAACCTATCATTTGGTGTTATACAACAAGGAAACGGTAATGATAGTATGTACTGTGTACCAGTTACAGATATCGTATGTACTGAGTCAAATGCCACGATCATCTATACTTCTGGGTATATATCCGTTCTTCTGAGTAGCGGCATCTCTCTCCTGACTTTAGCAAGGAGATCTAGATCAATGTCCGCAACCGCGATCTGCGGCTCTTGGTATTCATCGTCAAGCTTGGCAACAACTTCGCCCCATGGATTAACGATCATGGAATGTCCATAGCTTCTCCTCTTTTCATTGTGAGGCCCGGCCTGGGCTGCGGCAATCACATAGGACTGCGTTTCTATAGCTCTGGCGCGTAAAAGGGTCTCCCAATGCGCTGTCCCGGTAGGAACCGTAAAAGCTGATGGATATGTGATGATTTGGGCGTTCTGTCTTTTGAGAGCCAGACTAATCTCAGGAAAGCGCAGCTGTGTAAGGTTAAACGTGAGCAAGACGCATTGCAATATAAGTTGGCTGCTTCCGGCTTACATCAAAACAAATAGACAAGCCTACTCGCCCAACGGGTGTCTCGAAAGGCGGTAGTATCTCCATCCCCTTCTCGACGCTCCTTTATTTGACATTAGCCAAGTTCGATCAAACCGCATCCACTTATTAAACTCACGCGCTTTCCTTCAGTACTGGTCCACCCTTGATGTCCACATCGAATAGGTGGACCTTCTGGTAGCGTTGTGTGATGTCGCCCTTTTCATTGATCCAAACGAGGGTGTTCTTGATCCTACCGTTCGACGCCGGTTCGTGTATCCCTACATTGATGTGCAGATTGGCCAATTGTGCCTCTTTTTGGAGACCCAGTACAAATTCGCTGTCTTGTACAGAGCGTGCCAGTGAGATAGTCTCTGCAGGCGATGATGCGATATAGTCCGCAGCCTCGGGAAGAAACAATGCCTGTTGATTTGTTAAATCGATGCTGATACTGATGATAATCAAGCGTGAATGACTTGTGGGCGAACAAATACTGTATGAACTTACCTTAGCTCCAGCTGCGGCTGCCTTGCGTACCAGCGTCTTGCATTGCGTCAAGTTGGCCGCTAGACTTCCAGTTGAACATAGTTGCCCCACGGCCTGTGATGAGAGAAATATATCATATCAGTGAGAACTCCGCAGACATAATGAAAAGCCATCTACTGAGGCATTAAGCGCTTACTGCGAGAACCATTTTTGTGAAGCTACTAGCCGCTTGGATTCTGTATAAAAAGAAAAAAAGAGTCGAAAGTCTACGGAGGACCCAAAGGTTGATGGCGGAACATAGCATGCTTATCAAGAGAGAGCCCATGGCGATGCCCGTCGGCACTCGGCAGACTTTCCCGAATCGGTCCAACGTCTGGATCCCGCTTCAGCAAGAGCGGATCCAGATCTGAGCAAACGTCACGGAGTGCATCAACGGCCTGAAAAAACGATCTGGGTTGCAGAATACAACGACCTGCCAGGAGTGTGGTCGCTATACAGTCAAAATGAAAAGCTTACGGCGTGATTTCTCGTCGAATCCGCAGGCAGCAAATGTCACCAGCAAAGTCTTCGTGAGATCCACGAAAAGCGGAAAAGTTCAAAAGATCGTTCGCGAACTTTACCTCAGACAAGACATTCCTTGCTCGTCCAAGCTTTGCTCGACATGCGCCTCTACTGCGCCAGCGGATGCTAATGGAAATAGTGAGACAAGCAGATCGAACTTTTGCTCAATTTGATGGCTAATGCGACACAGTCACGCCTTTCGTGCTCTCGGAGCAGCCCGCGGGCACCAGCGCTTTCCCCCGCGGTCACTACCTTGTCCCCGATACCAATGCGTTGCTGAATGGCATGGATCTTTTCGAACATACCGGAGCCTTCTATGATGTTATTATCCTCCAAACCGTCCTCGAAGAACTGAAGAACCAGTCCCTACCCCTCTACAACCGCCTGCTCTCTCTGATCAAGACCGACGAAAAGCGGTTCTATCTCTTCTTCAACGAGTTCCGACTGGAGACCCACGTCCGGAGAGGACCCGAAGAGTCGATAAATGACAGAAATGACCGAGCTGTGCGAACAGTGGCCAAGTGGTATGCCGAACATCTCAAGACCACGGTGAAGAAGGGGAAGAAGAACGACATCCCGGCTATCGTTGTCATCACGGACGACAAGGAAAACTTGCGCAAAGCAAAGGAGGAAGATGTGACCGCATTGTCACTGTCAGACTATGTGTCTGGCCTGGAGGACTCGGATAGGCTACTTGATATGATCAACGAGTCTCGGGAGGCAAGGGAAGCGAAGGGCGCACGCGGCGAACTTTTCTACCCCGAATACTACTCGATGTCTAAGCTTATGACAGGCATTAGAGCTGGAACTTTGCACCAGGGAGTCTTCAATGTTTCGCCTTACAACTATTTGGAGGGCTCTGTCAATGTTCCGGCGTTCGACAAGCCCTTGCTCATTCTGGGTCGTGATAACAGTAACAGAGCCATCTCTGGGGATGTTGTTGTTATTGAAGTACTTCCCAAGGACCAATGGAAGTCACCATCTACCAAGATTGTCGATGAGGAGGCGGTCACCAAGAACGACAACCCTGATACCGATGATACCGAGGCGGTGGTGTCGGAGAGAGAACGGAAGGCCTTGCAAGAAGAGGTCAGGAAAGCTCATGGAAAAAGCTCGGAGGGAAAGCCGCAACCGACAGCCAAGGTGGTTGGAGTCATGAAACGCAACTGGCGTCAATATGTCGGGCATGTCGATGCCGGTTCGGCAGGTGCTCAGGCTAGCAGCGGTCGCCGTCAGCAGACCGTCTTCGTCCTCCCTATGGACAAGCGTGTACCAAAGATCCGAGTTCGTACTAGACAAGCTGGTGATCTTATGGGTCAACGTATTCTTGTCACCATCGATGCCTGGGATCGCGATTCCCGATACCCCACCGGCCATTTCATTCGCTCACTAGGGGAGCTGGAGACTAAGGGTGCGGAGACAGAGGCTCTGCTCCTTGAGTATGACGTTCAGTACAAGCCATTCCCGAAGGCTGTTCTCGACTGTCTTCCCGCCGAGGGTCATGACTGGAGGGTACCTGCTAGCAAGGATAATATTGGCTGGAAGGGACGGAGGGATTTGAGAGATCTTCTCATCTGCAGTATCGACCCCCCAGGCTGTCAAGATATTGATGACGCGCTTCATGCACGGCCATTACCGAACGGCAACTTCGAAGTCGGTGTCCACATTGCAGATGTCTCTCACTTCGTCAAGCCGAACAATGCAATGGACCTGGAGGCCAGTCTCCGTGGAACAACAGTCTACCTAGTCGACAAGCGTATTGATATGCTGCCCCATCTTCTCGGTACAGACCTTTGTTCCCTCAAGCCCTACGTCGAGCGGTACGCCTTCTCCGTCTTGTGGGAGATGACGCCCAACGCAGAAGTGGTATCTGCAGACTTCACCAAATCGGTCATTCGCTCTCGTGAAGCCTTCAGTTACGAGAAGGCCCAGAAGCGCATTGATGATGCTACGCAGAAAGACGAACTTACCGAAAGCATGCGCACTTTGCTCCGCTTCTCCAAGATCCTCCGACAGAAGCGCATGGACGCGGGTGCGCTGAACCTCGCCTCGCCAGAAGTCCGCATCGAAACCGACAACGACGAGGTGGGCGATCCTCTCACGGATGTTAAGACGAAGGCCATGCTCGAGACCAACAGTCTTGTTGAGGAATTCATGCTTCACGCCAACATTACAGTTGCTTCCAAGATCTACAGCACCTTCTCTCAGACCGCCATGCTCCGACGCCACGCCACCCCTCCCCCGCAAAACTTCGAAGAGCTTATCAACCAACTCAATAAGAAGCGCGACATGAGATTGGACGTGTCCAGCTCCCGTGCCCTCGCCGACTCCCTTGACCGTTGTGTTGACGAGAAGAACCCCTTCTTCAACACCCTTGTCCGCATTCTCGCCACCCGTTGCATGACATCTGCAGAGTACTTCTGCGCGGGGGCCCACGCAGAGTCCGAATTTCGTCACTACGGTCTAGCCTCACCCATCTACACGCACTTCACCTCCCCCATCAGACGTTACGCAGATCTTCTAGTCCACCGCCAACTCGCGTCAGCAATTGGCTATGAGGGCGAAGATGGCCGCGCCGTCGTAGAGGGAGTGATGACCCGGAACAGACTCGAAGATATCTGCCGGAACATCAACTACCGTCATCGCAATGCCCAGTTCGCTGGCCGCGCCAGTATCGAATACTACGTTGGACAGGCACTCAAGGCACGCGGAGAGAAGATGGCAGCCGATGGCGTGGACGGCGGCATTGAAGAGGAGGGCTACGTCATGCGTGTCTTCGAAAATGGTGTTGTTGTATTCGTTCCGCGATTCGGTATCGAGGGCGTGGTTCGCTTGGAAGATTTCGTCCTTCCGGATGACGCTGCTCTTCGCACCGTCGACGAGCGACGGGAGCTGGTGACGCGCCGACAGAGCGACTTCGACAATGAAGAGTACACTCTTCGCGTTTCCAACAAAGGAAACTCCGAGTCGGGGCCCAGCATGTCTGTGGAACTGTTCCAGAAGGTCAATGTCAACGTCAGCTCCGTGAAGGAAGAAGGTGGTCGCGGCGCAGGAAAGAGGCGGGTTAGAATCCTGATTCTGGGAAGCGATGCCTAGACTGGAGAAAAGTTACTAAGTTAATGACATGACTACAATCTTTCTGATTTGCCAGATTTACCATGACTAGAAGGCGTCCATCGGTGCTTTAAGTAGATTCATTGTATGTATGTATGTATGCCTTTTATGTACTTCTATGCTAGTCTCGAATAGTAATCTAGTATTCGAGACATCCTATGCTATCTGGTCTAGTTTCTTGTAGTATTCTGTTCTTTCTCGTCTAGACTGATCAGACTCTCCTCAAGGCCACCATCTGACGCAGCAAATGAAATGGCGACCAGATTTGAGTCTCCTTCATTCCTGATGCGGGTATCCCAGGTGAAGGATCATATTCTTCTCCCTTCTGTGCAGTATCATTCTCATCCTTCTTCTCTATACTAGCCGGAACCATCACACCAGGTGCCGCACCCTCCTTCTTTTCAGACCGCACAAGCTCCCCTATCTTCCATCCTCGCACGAGCCACAAACACGCCGCACCACCAATGTACATGAACCCCGTAAAGATCTGCACTCTCAGATACACCGAGTCCGTAGATCCATTATCCCTCAGCACAAGCGCAATAGCCTCCGACACAGTTGTGGGCGGTACCAAAACCAGCCACGTAATGCTCAACCCACTAGGTAGGTCCCGTAGACCGATAATTTCCGCCAGCACAGGGGTGACGGTGGCCCAGTAGGTTCCTGCAACAGTGCCGACGAGGACAGCGAAAAAGCAGACCACGCCCATACTGCGAGCGAAGATCCAGATTACCAGACAGAACAAACCACAGAGGAATGTTAGGAACGTGGCGATGTTAATCCGACCTAGCTTATCACTAAACATGCCAACGATGGGGCGCCCGAGGCCCTGACCGAGGTTAAGTAGGGCGCTGACGATACTGCCCTGATGGGAGGAGAGACCGACGGAGAGGGCGAAGTTGGCGAGGCTAAAAAGCACGGCGACGTAGCCTAGCATGCTGAGGATGCCCCATCCTAGGAAGAGGAGGAATTCGGGACGCTTGAGTAGGGGTAGGGAGAAGGCGTGGTGACGGCTTCCGATGTCCTTGTTCCGGTCTCTGAGGAGGTTGGCGCATACTAGGTTGACGACGCATGCGATGATTCCTAGGATTCGGAATGCCCAACTTAGGCCGAGTCGGGGGATCATGGCGCCAACGGCTAGGGAGTAGATTAGTCCCCCTATACCCGAGCCGGCTGCATTGATGCCCATTGCTAGACTGCGACGGCGGTGGAACCATTGAGGGGTTATGCCTACGCTTCCGACGAAGAGGAAGCCCATTCCCCAGCCGAAGCAGACGCCTTGGCTAAGGAAGATGTGCCATAGTTCGGTAGCGAAGGATGAGCCGATTAGGGAGAGGGTTTCGAAGAAGACTCCGAGGTTTAGAACTAGGCGGGTTCCGCAGATGTGGATAAGGTGTGTGGCTAGAGGAGCTACGAGGAGGGCACAAGAAATGCTCAAACCGCCGGTGAAGGCGTAGGCCAGGGCAGAACCGTTGGCAAAGACATTGTGCGAGAGGTAGTAGGAGAGAAAGACGCCGTAGCTCTAGATCTCGGGACGAGTGCGTGTGTGTGTTAGTCCTTGTATCGGAGCAAATGATCTGGAATAACCAACGCTGTTGATTCCCCATGTGTGCGCATTGATCCAGAAGACGCAAGCGACACAAACCCAGCCATAGCCACCGTCTGGTACGACGTCTTGCTCATATTTGGTCTCCGCATCTTTGGGAGCCGATTCTTGTTGTTGTTGCTCCTGTACTTGCGACAGGGGATCTAGGTTTGGAGTCTCATCGTAATCTCGAGAATGGATGATGTCGATTGGCGTATTATCTCCCATTTCGAGATAACTAAAAACTAAAATAGGTCAGGAGAATATAGCACGCTGCTCTAGACTACAGCTGTTAACTTCCAGGTACGGCATCGAGGACGCTATCGAACATTCACATGAAGCCTCCAGCAGTAGCCAAGAAAGTCAAGTGGTAGAGCAAAACAGAAGTCGAGCGGGGATAGAGATCGAAGAACCGCATGGCGCCGGTTTTATGGCAAGGGTCCAGGAAAACCGAAGGCCTAAAAGTGCCGATGTGTCATAGAGACCCCGAAAGAAACAAGATCCTCGGTCATACGAACCAGTTAGTGAGCCCTCGGCCATAAGCGGTTCGGTGACTAGTCCGAGAAAGTCAGTCTGTGACTGGTTCGTTGATTGGGTTTAAATCCATCCAGGATTGAGGAAGATAGCGCCCATGGGTCCAGTTAGCGCAACCGTCGTGCCGATTGACCCGTGCGGAGTCTGGGGGAACACGAGGCGATCCACTCATGAGAGTAAATTGGTTTGAGCTGCAGGCTCATATGAAGTGGTTAGATAGATCTGTCGGCGATAAATCAACTGTGTAGTATATTTGATGCTATGTGTTCAGGTATTCCGTTTGGGTCGTCCTTGGACATCCATACATGTGCATGCTCCTGCCTTAAGCTACTAGTAGCTAACGTTGGGGAAGTGCGTGATAAGGACTAGCAGTACCCATGTTTCATCCTTGTAGCACTTTGGATTAATAATTATGGCAGAATATTCCATCTCATGTCACGTTAGCAGCTCCCACCAGCTTCATTTACAGAAGGACACAGCTGCCTACGATTCCATCACTTGCTATCGCATTACTTGTACGCGCCTCATGTGCTAGATTTCTACGCTTGCAGAGTTTGTTACTATTCCGACAAGCATGTCTTGTCTGTTCGGGCTGTATATATGCCCATAATCTTCAGGCACATTGATTGACGGTCCTCTCATGCTGGAAAGTTGAGAGGCTTTGTTACTTCCGTCGGTAGTAAAGTGAGACGGACTCGCTAAGGTATTGATGCTGTGCACCAGACAATGTAGCCTTCTCGTGAGTCTGTACTTGTTATTAGGGCAGTAGCATCCACTGAAGAAGAGTTGGTTGTACCAAGACAGGTTACACAGACGCATACTGCGAGGCATAACTCCTCGATCTGAGGGATCCAACGACGCGAATTGGTCAATGTGTCCTATCCAAAGGACTGCATAAATGACCCACAGTTGATTTTGCATTGCCATTCCTACCCATGCAGACGGACATATAACCCGTTCATTTCAGAGGGAGCAGATAAGAGGACTAAATGCACCCAGTGCTACATACTAGTAGTGCTCTATCAGACTTGAGCCAGTTATCCAACGTGACTACCAAAAGAGGAATAGACTGTGGGATGCGATGAGTCAGCTCGGCCCCGCGTTGCCTTGAGAACCGGAACCTGATGTTTGCAGTGTTTGGTTGGGTGCTTTGTTGTCCCTTGGCGGGAGGGATTGTTGGCCATAGCTTCTGTCCGTCTTGTCTTTCCCATCTGTACCCCTGCCTGTCACTCAGTACTAACTAGTATCCATGAGCTCATTGAAACTAATCATTATTAACTACTCACTAATTACTACCTCCGTCGCCGCGCTAACTCTCTAACCCTGTAAGAACAACGCCTTATCGCTCTCAAGCAAGGAAAGCGGATCTAGTTGGGCAGATCCGATCTCTCTAGTTGATTCCATACCTGGCCCACTGCCCAGCCACCCATTTGAATCTCATTGGCTCTATTCGATTATATTAGACACTTACTTCATAGCTCTGCGACTGAGAGCCAACTCATCATCCTACCCCTTCCTGATATCACCCCTTTGGTATGATCTCTCAGGTTCAACCTCCATGGCCACTATGATGCATAGGCCTCAACTTCACAAGGCCAGGGACGGCCAGCGCAAGGTCTCGCCTCCCGGTCCAACTTACATGTCCAATGATCAGATCGGTACGTGTTTACGCTGCTGCGATGTTGAGTCAGAGCATTGTCTGCGCTTTTCGAGGGTGTTGGCCGGGCGGCCGGCTGTGGGTTGACATGGCAACATTTATTAATTCCTGGCGTAACAGCGACCTATCTGAAAGATCTGCGGACAAATCGTCCTGCCCGCCCCGGCGGATCCAGGCCGCTTCCTTCGAGATCAATTGGATCGTCCTCTGACACTCGGGAGGATCTCCCTCCACGAGCAGCGTCTGCAATGTCGTCGTATGGACATTCGTATATGCACTCGAGCACACCAGCAGCTGAGACCGAGCATCCTCGGGCCACCAGCTCACTTTCTAACCATAAGCCAACTTCATCTCGAGGCACAATGGGCAGCCCTATCGGACGACCGTTGGTCCAGGAACCAAGAACAGTCCCCGTACGGCAGCATATCTCACCCACTCGAGCCTACAGCCGCGCTCTTCCTACCTCCCCAAGCGCCGCTTATCGTGAAAGCCCGCAACGGCGTATAGAGAAGGAAGAGGCAAAGTCCTTGCGAGATGCCTTACAACAGATGGACCTGGAGGATGACGTCGAGCTCCATGCAGCTGCACAAGATGAAGCTACCGAGCTGGTGTGGATGCACCAGAACCCCGGTGTTCCCTATAAGAACCCATATGCACCATATCACAATCCCGATTTGGACACGCTCCAGAAAAGCCCAGATAGGAATAGTCAGTATTCGCGTGGCGAGAGGCTGGGCTCTCCTACTCCACGACGGGGCAGTCGTCGTCTTGCCTACCAGGGATCGACTATAAGCTACAACGGTCCTAGCAGCATCCAAGAGTCGGACGAAAGCCCGGCACATGATGAGCAGGAGTCTGCCATGGGAAGGGATATTCCCAGCCCTAAAAAGAACGGGACTCTACGGAAGAACCTCAAAGTCAACTTTGCGTTGCCGCGGGACGAAGTGTCCGCCCAGAATACCAGCAGCAGCCATGGGCTGGGCTTGGCGAATATCGGTAGAGATTCATCCAAAGGCATCTTTAGGAATCCAAACGACCAGATATACGAAGAGCCTCAGCTTTCGCCTCAGAAAGACGAGAACACTCGGCCGGACTTCTCAAGGTCGGACTCTTCGGCTTTGAGAAATAAGCCACGCAACGCTCTTCCTCGCGGTTCTCGTCCTCTACCTAGTCGGTTCAGTAGCCTTCCTTTTGTGGACAAGCTGGCTCGCTTTGAACTTCATAAGAACCCTCCAAGCCAGTCAAGGAATCCAGAGTATAGAATGAACGACCCGCTCCCACAACCTCCTACGGCAGGCTCTGAGGTTGAGGAGCAAGAGTCCCCTATGAAGAATGGCCTAGAAATCCGCAGCGATGACATTCGAGCAGCTACTAGCAAGAAACTCAAAGATCGGAGCACTCGCCTACCGATGCCAACCGCTGTGAGTGATCGTGCTGGTCGGCCGATCGTGAGTTTCGATCCGACTTGGAAGCCAACTGAGGCGCAAAGCCCGCGCAACCGAGATAGCTTCAAGGGAAGGGATGCAACGCCGGACGTGCCTTCTCTCGAGCCTGCTGCTCCCACTATTGAGGTATCCGAGGCACCGTCAATCCCGGTTATCAACTTGCCAGACGACAAAGAGCCCACTATCTCTGAGATGGCAGGACCATCCCAGAGCACAAGTACTGGTGGGAAGTCACCGTCAAGCCCACCCAAGAACAACGAAGCTCCCAGGCGATCCCCGAGAAAACCCACTGCAGGGTTGCAGAGTCGGTGGCTATCCACCTATAGCCGCTCTGGCGTTCCCACCGCAACATGCGAGGCATGTTCTCTTCCAATCTCGGGAAAGATTGTGACCGCTGCGGGTTCACGTTTCCATCCCGAGTGCTTCGTGTGCCACCATTGCCAAACTGCTCTGGAGTGTGTTGCATTCTATGAGGAACCTGAAGTGAAACGCCAAGAACGTCTCGCGCAGGCTTCCAGCGATGATGAAGAAGCCCATGGACTGAGGTTTTACTGCCACCTTGATTTCCATGAGCTATTCAGTCCAAGGTGCAAGAGCTGCAAAACCCCGATAGAGGGAGAAGTGGTCGTTGCTTGTGGAGCTGAGTGGCACGTCGGGCACTTCTTCTGTGCCGAGTGCGGTGATGTACGGTCTTCCCCTCTATTTTGTAATCGATGACTACTAACATACCTCTTCTAGCCTTTCAACGCAGACACACCTTTCGTAGAAAAGGATGGCTTTGCATGGTGCTTGCAGTGCCACTCCCGTCGCACAGCTCCTCGGTGCCTTGGATGCAAGAAGCCAGTGTTGGAGGATGTTGTGATAAGTGCAGTTGGAGGGCAGTGGCATGATGATTGTTTTGTCTGCCACGAGTGCGGGGATGGATTTGGTCCCGACGGTCGTTACTTCGTCCGAGAAGGGGAACCGAGAAAGACAGCCAAGGGGCGCATTATCGGCGGGCCGGTCCAATTGGCTGTCTGTGAAAGATGTGAAGGTATTCGGTTGAAGGCGTCGCCGTGATGTGGGTATCTGTCGGATGATGGCTGATGACTGACGCCAGTGACATGATCATTGTGGCCATCTGCATAGTGTTGAGCGCAGTGCGCTTGACAAAATGCATCATCCAAGGTTATATGGCAATTGTCTTTCATATACGTCTCCCAATTTGTTTTTTTTTCTTCCTATTTGTTGCGACCTGTGAATTGCATAGCATCCAGCGGGAGTCTACGATAGCGTACACTTTAGGTGAATTTATGACAGTGAATGGTTTAAAGGACACATTTTTTGCATCTTGCTAGCTGCAACCACAAAGAACCCCTAATCTGAAGGCTCTCAGTACTAATTCAGGCTGCCTGCATAGTTTTAGAGCCGGACCAGGGCTATTCCGGAAAAGGAAGGCTGACTGTCTTGTCATCTCGGCTCGAGGCTTCTCTCCGTCTCGCGGCAACTTGCCTGCGAGGGTGTGATTCCATTGAACTAGCCTTCCCCATTTCCTAGATGGGCAACTAGGCAGCTTGACTTTTTGGCAAGATTCGCGTGTCATACGAGTGCCTCGAGTCGAGGCACCTGGATCTAGTTCGGCAAGACGGAGACGCTTGGATGTCAACCCCAGCTTTGCGGGGGGTTCCGAGCTTTTGCGGGGATCGCGTCTCCATTGCCGTCATCGCATCAAATCCGCATGTACGACCATCTATAGATTGATACGGCTCTTGCGCGGGGATCGGGAGATCTAGCTGCTGCAATGTCCTTCGGATGACGTCTGATCCATGTCGAACGATGGCAGCTACAGCACCATATCGTTTCCCTATTCGCAATGCCGGCATAGGCGTTGTGCCCTGAGCGGGCAGCATAAATAACCTGCAAGGAGTCGATGGTCTAGTGGGTGACATGTAGGCAGGCCTGTCAAACCAAGTATTCCCAACACTTCCTTCATCTCTCAATGACACTTTAACTCCATTAGTCGCTTTAATCATTGTTCGCACCAGTCCCTAATGGCAGAAGATTCGGATTACAAGCTCAAGTGTGACGCCTCTCTTTCAGAGGAGATAGAGAATGTTATTACCTCGCCTTTCTCTCCCGAGGAGGAAAAGGCCCTCGTGCGGAAGGTTGATTTGACTTTGCTTCCAACAATATGGATCATGTACCTCCTTTCCTACATGGATCGGACCAAGTCTGTACCCCCAATCCTCCTACATATTGCTATAAATGCCTAACTAGTCTTACTATATCAGTATCGGTAACGCAAAGATCTCGGGTATGCAGGAGGATTTGGATTTGACATCCGGCCAATATTCGATTGCTCTGGTTGTCTTCTTCATCGGATATGTTGTCTTTGAAGTTCCCAGCAAGTACGTTCCACTTCAATAACCCGGAATTCTCACACACTAGTGCTGACCGTTACTCAACTATATAGCTTAGTACTAAGCCACACGCGCCCATCGTTGTTCCTAACTGGTATCATGGTAATATGGGGAGCACTAACCTGTGTGATGGGCGTGATAAAAGACTACAAACACCTTGTGGTATTGCGCGCACTGATTGGTAAGGCATCTTACTGACTTGTCCGTGGTGATAGTATGTTTATGACTTTGGTAGGCTGTGTTGAAGCGGGCTTCGCACCTGGTGTCCTTCTTGTCCTCTCGTCTTGGTACAAACGGACGGAACAATCGAAGCGATTTGGTGTCTACATTTCTGCTGCAATTCTTTCAGGGGCGTTTGGATCTTTACTAGCAGCAGGTATTATCCAGGGTCTAGAGGGAGTTCATGGAATAAGAGGGTGGAGATGGCTGTTCATTGTGGAGGGATCTGCAACTGTGGGAGTAGCGATCATATGTGCCTTCATTTTGCCCGACTTTCCGGCCACCTCTAGGCGCTTATCAGAACGAGAGCGACATGTGGCTATCGCACGGCTAGCGACAGACAATGTCACATCTTTGACCGAAGACAGCCCGGAATTGTCACATTGGAATGCTGTTGTCGAGTCGGCTAAGGATTGGCGGACCTGGGGATTTGTGGTCGGATATATGGTATGGTAACCCCTCGGGCATACGCATGATGCCACAACGCTAACTTCAAAAAGGTCATAGTCGGCTCTAGCACACTGTCCTACTTCTACCCTACACTCGTGAAGGGCCTTTTCGGAGATTCATCCACTGAAAGGGTGAACTTCCTGACAGTACCGATCTACGCAGTCGCATTTGTCTGCACCGCCATCACCGCATACTTCAGCGACAAAATTCCCCAATGGCGAGGTCTTGTCATTGCTGGCTGGCTGAGTGCATCGCTAGCTTGTTCCATTGCAGTTTGTGTTGTATACAACTATACTGCACGGTATGTCCTTCTCGTACTTATGGCTGCCGGATTGTGGGCAACCAATGGAGGCACCCTTGCGTATGCGTCATCTGCATTTGCGAACATGCACCCGCAAGTAAGAGGCGTCAGCCTTGCGCTAGTAAATGCATTGGGGAATCTAGCCCAAATATACGGCTCGGTATGAACAATCTTGGGTCTTTGTTGTTGGCATTCAGGTGACTAACTGGCAACAGTACTTGTTCCCTTCCTCCGACGGTCCGAAGTATATCATGGGGTTCTCGGTGATATCCGCAATGCTTGCTCTCGGAGTGGTAGTCTTTCTTGTGATACACGTCTGGTTTCGTCGGCGCGCGATTGCCATCAGCCATACGTGATGCTTCATGCTGGTCATGGGCTCTCTCATTGCTAGCATAGAGAAATGAAGTACTAACGACATGATGGAGATGATGTTAGGGTTATTAGCCTGTGAAAGTACATTTACAAGTACCTGCTTTACGAAGCTAGCATTCGAGAGCTATGTGTTGTTTTATAGTATTCCCTAAACTCGGGCCCTTTCCCTTTAAATAGACACAAATTCCGAGCAATCAACGTCCAACACCACTCTGCTGCACTATAGAAGTCTCCTCTGAGCCAGACTCAGCCACTCTACAATGTGCCATCCCTGACATTGTAATATATATCGAAAGCAACACACCCACAAGACTATACGAGCACATGTCAAAACAAAATATTATCCAAACCATGTATATATGATAATTAACTTTTGTTGATTTCGCAACAAAACATCCACGCCATAGATCTATACAAGCCAAAACAGAAACACAGAAATCAGGCCCACTCCGGATCCTCCTTCCTCCTAAACACAGCAACATACTTATTACCCTTATTCCTCGTAACCTTCTTCCCCTCCTCCGTCGCCTCCTTCATAACCTTCACACACTCATCCTTCTCCAACTCCTCCTCAGACACCCTCTCAAACAACTCTTTAACAGTGGGTCCCTCATTCTCCGCCTCCTCAACCGCACTTTCATCCCGGAAATGTCTCAAAATCCAATGATGATACTCCTCCACATCCGTAATAGTGTACAACAGACCACCAGGGCGCAGCGCATACGCATACTCCGCATTCAAAGTCTCCGAGATAATGCGCGCCTTGTGCTTCCTCGCCTTGAAGTGCGGGTCCGGGAAACAGATGAAGATCTTCGACAGCTGGTGCTTGTTGAAGAAGTTCGGGAAGAACTTCATCGTGTTGCTCCGGATTGCCGAGATGTTCTGGTATCCTCCGGGGACGAGAGCCGCGCTGGCGTTCGGGTCGGGATGCGCCGGGGCATCGGTGGGAGTATCAGCGTCGGCAGCGTCGGCGGTAGGGGCAGGGGTGGAAGTCGAAGACGTAGGTTGAGACTGTGATTGTTGTTGTTGTTGCTGTTGTTGTGTCTTTTGTTGCTGGTGCTGTTGTTGCACGCGGAGAGCTTGGATACGGGTGTTTAGGTATTCGAGGACGGCGATGCGGATTTCCATACCTAAATTGAAAGGTTCAGTTCAGTTCAGTTCAGATCATTCCACAATCCATGACTTGTGTGAGAAAGAAAGATGTAGATAAGATATATACATACCGACCATCAATGTCTCCGGCAACAACCCCGCCAGACCGACAAGCAACCCACCAAATCCACATCCGATGTCTACGACCTCGACATCCTTAAGCAACTTTCTCGTTCCGATCAGGTTCGTCTGCGTGGCGTCGGGGTTCACGAAAGCAGGGAAATGCGATGCCCAGTCCATATGCGCCGGGCTGAGGGGACTATACAGAGAAGAAAAGTTTAGCCCGAGACGTTCAATCCATTCCATTCCATTCCACCATGCCATTGGCCCTACCCACATGGCAGAATAGAAAAGACAATGTCAACATACTAGTTCAACTGATGATCCGAGAACGGATTCGCATGCGCCCGCTGACGATAGAACTTCTTCTTAGGGAGCTTGACATGGCCCACGGGGGCGGACTCATCCGGTTGCGCGACGACCGCTTCGGCGGCTTGTTTGCGGTACTCGGCGCGCTTTTGGCGCTTAGCAGGAGGTTGAGACATTGCGTATCTGAGGATTTATTGAGGGTGATTGAAAAAACAAACTTGCGAGAGACTTGTTGGAGAAACCTATTGAGAAGGTGGGGGCTGCGGTGCGGTGCGGTGCTGCGGAGGTTGCGGAAATTTCTAAAGGCGGAGAAGTTAGTTAGTTCCATTAAGGTGGGTGGGTTGTTGGCTGGCGGTAGATAATAATCTACTGACGTCCTTATCGATCACCACCACCACCACCACCACCACTACAACTATCACCGTCAACGATACAATCAATCAACCCGTATTATATACCGAGTACTATTTGACAACAGCGGAATACACATATCTCAATTCTCTATCCCAATTTTATTTTACGAAACAAACACCCACCACCAGAATGACAAGCGCAACAACATCAACAACAACCACCACCACCCCACCCTTTCAATTCCCCCTCACCTACTCCTTCCCAGCCTTCTTCACCCCCCAACCCAACAGCACGACACGCACCTCGCAACTCCAGAAATGGTCCTCCCTGATCCAATCCTGGTGTCGGCACCACCACGTCTACCGCCTATCGTTGATCGAAGCCATCGAGTCCCCGTTATTCCATAATGCGACGCTCCGGAAGCGCATATCCATGAGCGATGCGCGGGATATTCTAGACTGGATGGCGAAGAGTGAAGAGGAAGGAGGCGGAGGTAGGAGAGCGGAGTGGATTGATGGTGGGAGTAAGAGTGTGGCGTGGATTTGGTGGAAGAGGCCGGAGGAGTGGGCTGGGTTGATTGCGGATTGGGTATGTGTTCTTTTTATTCCATATCATTAGTTTCCTCTGATATGTTGTGGGCGGTTGAGGGTTAAAAGGAGGGATTGTGATTGCTAACTGCTTCATTTTGGTGTATAGGTGGAAAACACAGGCCAGAAGAATGTGGTGCTTACGGTTTATGAGTTGTTGGAAGGGGAGGCTACGATGTCGCAGGGTAGGTTGACTTGCTTTGCTTTTTTTGGTCATTGAGTAATGCTGGTATGGCATGATGGCTAACGGCTGGCTGGAATAGAATGGCATGGGATGGATCCCGATGCGATGCACAAGTCCCTCAACGTTCTCGTAAAACGGGGCAAGGCGCAAGTCTTCGGTAGCGAGGGCCAGGAGGGTGTCAAGTTCTTTTAAGGATCGGGTAGGTCATCTGGCCTGATTACAGCATGCGGTCGGCTCGTGGCTCCATTCGAAAGCAATGTCCATTGGCGACGCTGAGAATACGGCAACTATCTTCATGATAAAGTAAGGGATATACAAAAACCAGATAATGTCCCCCGAGAGAGCTCTAAGGGTTTCCCGCTGTTCATAACAGGGCATATATGTTTCAACACAGCACTCCTAACACCGTGCTCAAGAGCCAGCTACTGCTCCATCTTATCTGCCATCTCCTCGTCCAACTCATATGCATCTGCGGCGCGCAGCGTTTGGGACATGGCAATGTCAAGAAGCCAATCTACCCGGACTATCCGTGGTGTTTTGCCTCTGTTTAGGACCATCTGGCGGAATCGCGGCCACAGCTTGGTGTGGTCTGCAGAAGTGCTACTCAGCAGATATACCTCCTTGCGGTTGCGATCGTCGTCTCCAGAGCTCTCGTCACTCTCCTCGCGCTGGGATCGGTACGAAACGCGACCACGGAAGAGAGAGCATTCTCCTCCATTAGCATCGACAATGGACTTGAACGCATCAAAACCACCACGGATAGTTTCGACGCAGTGTATTTGATACCCTTGCAAAAGCTTGTTCTTGTTCTTTTTGGCGTTCATCTTCGCTTCTTCCAGAGAGAATCCATATTTCTTTTCCGATGCATCATCTTTTAGTGGGAAATCAGCGGGTTTCAGAAGTTCGTCTTGTTCGAGGCATTGCGTGATGAAATCGATGCTCACAATATCCGGGCCGTATGCGAGCGCGTTGACGAACTTGGGAGTCCGCAGGATAGAGGGGGCAGCAAGATGGGAGCATCTCCGGGCGTCTTGGACAACCAAGATGCCAAGCTCACGGAGCTGGCGCTGCTCACAGTCAGATGCCTTTCTCAATTACAGACATGTATAAGGTGGTGAACAAACCTTATCTGAGTCTTCCTTCTTCGCATTCCCAACCCATTTTTGATACCCTGTAATTAAAAGATGCATCGCGACAGACGGCTTGCCCTTCTTCTGTCTCTTTGCTTCCGTGCTGTCCTCTTCATCGCTCTTGTCCTCCGCTTCCATAGAACGCCGCTTCTTGCCATTGTTGATCGTGACCCGATCCTCGTCATTCTTCCGTCGACCACCATAGATCACGCCACCAACACGCTTCTTCTCTTTCTCGTACAATGCAATGTCCGGTGCGATTTCATGCAGTCGAGCGGTAGCGGCCTCCTTTGACTTCCGGCTACTTGTCGTGGACGGCGTATCATTTTCCTTGCCTTCAGACGTAAGCCGGGCACGCGCCGGTGTTTGTAGCTTCTGATTATCACTTGTAGCTGTCTTGCGCGACTTTCCAGCCGCTCGCGGTGTTGCAATTTGCGGCTGCTGCGGTACCTCGCTCTCGGATTCTGTCACTTTCGCCGACGGTGGTTGCATGGTATCCGATGACTTTGCAGCGACGGTGTTCTGTTCCTTAGTCTGCATCGCCCGTCGAGGGCTCTCCTGCTCTCTGGCTAAGCTTTCACTCTGGAAGAATATACTTTCGAGGACCGTTCTGTCAAGTCTGGTCTGCCCAACAACTTCGCCTAAATTCGTCCTCTTAGGGAAATGAGTGTAGCGCGGATCAGAAACGGGTTGCAGCTTCCACTTTGCGTAACTCTCCTCCAACCATAAGTGGTTGATGACCTGCAATCCCCACTCCTTTGCGGCAGCGCATTTCTCGCTGTTGCCATGAGCAGTCACAAGATGCGTATTCTCCTGCTTTAGCGTCTTGGTGCATTCTGCGCCTGTCGCGGTGATCAGGTTCTCCAGGTATGCTCTGGCTTCGCCAACATAGTTGGACAAACTGATCTTAAATCCCTTGAAGCCTGGGATTCCGGACCGCGAGACAGGATAGTGTAGTAATCGCCGTAGAGGGGATGTCCAGGTGTTGTAGGTCATCAGGTGGTAGAGCCACGATAGGTTTCCGACATCCTTGTTCAGCCTCGATGCCATGCGGTATGCGAACCCCTCTCTATAGCGACATATCAAGATATCCGCCTTTGAGACATCCGTCGTGATGGAGCCGCCACCATTCTTAATGATATCCTCGATAGACCCGAGAAGACGAGGGCCGATACCGAGGTCTGTTGATAGCATGACATTCTTATCTTGAAATACAGTAAGCGCTGGCTGCGCGTCGAGCGATTTGACAGATGAGGGAAGGTTGGCTGGGTTCGTCGTGGATGCGCCGATGATGTCACGGTTTTCTGAGGAACGGATGGGTGCATCTGGCGC